ATGCGCATTGCCAGTGGCATCACCGCCACCCTAGGCCTTGCTGGTGCGGTGTCCGCAAACCTACACCCTCGCTCTCAAGAAACCCGCGACTTCTTCGCCCTCCACCTTGACGATAACATCTCCCCCTCCCACATCGCACAGGTCCTAGGCGCACGCCACGAGGGCCAAATTGGCCAACTGGATGGCCACCACACATTCTCATTACCGCGGGAACAGACGGCACAGTTTGACACCTTGCTGGATGATTTACGGACCAGGCGAAAGCTCCGGCGGCGCTCCGAGGGAATCGATTCGCGCGGGACAAGTGATGATCCCCTAGACAAGATTCTGTGGTCGCATAAGATTGCTCCAGCAAGACAACGATTGCAGAAACGACTTCCGCCGGTCTCCGTACCCTATAGGTCGCTGGACAAGAGAGATAATGGGCAGGCCGTTGCTTTCCAAACGAATGCCATGTCAACTCTAGGAATCACCGACCCGATCTTCAGAGAACAATGGCACCTTCTCAATACATTGCAGCCCGGACACGATCTCAATGTGACAGGGTTGTGGTTGGAGGGGATAACCGGCAAAGGGGTTGTCACTGCGGTTGTTGACGATGGGCTGGACATGGATAGCAACGATCTCAAGCCCAACTACCTCCCAGAAGGCTCCTGGGATTTCAATGAGAATGTCCCGCAACCCCGCCCTCTTCTGCTTGACGATAAGCATGGTACTCGATGCTGTGGCGAGATCGCGGCAGCAAAGAACGATGTTTGTGGAGTCGGTGTTGCGTACGATAGCAAGGTAGCCGGCATCCGGATCTTGTCCAAGCCTATTGATGATGTCGATGAAGCGGCGGCTATCAACTTCGCCTACCAAACGAATGATATATATTCGTGTTCATGGGGCCCCATCGATGATGGTGCCACGATGGATGCGCCTGGAATCTTGATCAAACGAGCCATGGCCAACGGTGTCCAAAAGGGCAGAGGGGGTAAAGGCTCTGTCTTTGTCTTTGCCGCCGGTAACGGTGCGGCCTTCGGGGACAACTGCAACTTCGATGGGTATACCAATAGTATCTACAGTATTACAGTTGGTGCCATTGACCGGGAAGGGAATCACCCGGCCTACTCCGAGTCATGCTCTGCCCAACTTGTGGTCGCATACAGCAGCGGCTCTGGTGATTATATTCACACTACCGACGTGGGTGCGAACAAGTGCTTCTCTGGACATGGTGGCACTTCTGCGGCTGGTCCGCTGGCCGCAGGCAGCGCGGCGCTCGCGCTCAGCGCACGCCCGGAGCTGACCTGGCGTGATCTACAACACTTGATGGTGGAGACGGCGATTCCAGTGAGTGAGGACGACGGTAGCTGGCAGGTCCTGCCCTCTGGTCGCAAGTTTAGTCATGACTGGGGCTTCGGAAAGGTCGATACATATACCATGGTCCAGCTTGCTAAGACTTGGGAACTCGTGAAGCCACAGGCCTGGCTTCACTCGCCATGGCTGCGAGTACATCAAGACATCCCCCAGGGTGATCGCGGTCTGCTCAGTCGCTATACGGTGACTGCTGATCAATTGAAGGAAGCCAACATCGCCAAATTGGAACATGTCACTGTGACTATGAATGTCAACCACACCCGCCGCGGTGATCTCAGCGTTGAACTGCACAGCCCTGCTGGAGTTGTTAGCTACCTGAGTGTTGCCCGCAGAAAGGATGATATGCCGGTTGGGTATGTCGATTGGACTTTCATGTCTGTTGCTCATTGGTATGTGTTGCCCCTCCAACTCCATGATATGCGCTTCGGCTAACTTATTCTTAGGGGTGAATCTCCTGTTGGCGACTGGTCTATCATCGTGAAAGATGCCGACGTCAACGAGTACTCCGGCACATTTATTGATTGGCGACTCAATCTGTGGGGTGAGGCCGTTGATGGAGCTAAACAAAAGCTTCACCCCCTACCCGATGAGCATGATGATGACCATCCTTACGAGGATGCTCCTGTCGCCACGACTAGCATTCCGGCGGCTCCAACAAAGACCGAGGCCCCTCCCAACCCAGATGAACATCATGACCGGCCTGTGAATGCCAAGCCAAAACCGACAGAGACAAAGCCCACGCCTGTTGAAGATGTGAAGAAGCCCACCAACACTACCGCTAATGAAACTGAAACCCCCTCCCCTTCCGCCGCCGGATCAGACTACATATCCACTTGGCTTCCCACTTTTGGTGCTTCGAAACGCACCCAGATTTGGATTTATGCATCCCTGGTCATGATCATTACCTTCTTCATTGGCTTGGGTGTCTACTTCCAGCTACAGAGAATCAAGCGTCGTCGTACCACTGCTCACGATGACTACGAATTTGAAATGATTGAGGATGAGGATGAGATGCAACCGATGACTGGAGCATCTGGTCGAACACAACGTCGTGGTGGTGAACTGTATAACGCATTTGCCGGAGAGAGTGACGAGGAAATGTTCAGCGATGATGAGCCGTATCATGATGGGTTGGCCAATATTCAGGAAAAAGACGGGGAAGATGGAACGTCCCATGATGGCCCCCATCAGGAAAAGTCTTAATTTAATGTGGATAGTCATTTTGCATCTTGTTTGGTGTTGCGATATGCTGTATTGAATTTGGTGAAAATTGGAGAGCATCGTTCACAGGAATAGACGGGGGATACTAGGGTCTTCTGTATATCTCCCATTTGACAGGAATTCAAAAGTGTGCTGTGCATACTAAAAAGATAATTTTGGCAAATATGAAGCAAATTCTCCAGGAATCACTAGAATAATAAAAGACAATTAGATCTTTGCCATGGACTTGTACGGAGGTCGATTCTAATAATAAAGCGATAAGCGATGACGTTCCGCTTCGGGAACTCCGCCTTGGGGAACGGCGATCATTGAAACTCAGCTCCAACCTCCAAACTTTCCCCTCCATTCCACCTCTTTAACCTTTCCAGACCCTATCACTTCTCGATCAAACATTTCCTGCAAATATTGGTTTCTCGGCATTACTGGGGTTCCAACGACTATCAGCCGGTTGACTACGGCCGACCGACAACCCTCAACGATGGATCAACATGACGACTTTGATAGTGTGTCTTGGAAGCATGACCCAGACAGCGATGTCTCACGACCAACAACTGCAAGTACAGATGTAGCAGAACCCAGTGAAACTCACCGCGACTCCAATGGCAAGCGGAGAATGAGCTCCGCCCAAGAAGAGCCCCAGGCTGGCCCACTAGCCGATGCCGTCGACCTGGCGGGCATCGGCGATGGTGTTCTTGAGTGCCGAGTAGACTCTCCGCTGAAAGAAAATGACGGGACAAAAGACGCATATATCTCGTACCTGGTTACCACACATGTATGCTTTCTTCTTTGCATATATTGTCGGGGAGTGGAGGTGCAACTGCTGCCTAGACCTCTCGACATCTGTATCTCCTCAAGTGGACCATAACTGACATATTTAGACCGACTTCAAATCATTCCAGAAGCCCGACTTCACTGTTCGGCGGCGCTTCACCGATTTCTATTTCCTATACAAGACGCTCTATCGTGAATACCCGGCATGCGCGGTGCCGCCGCTCCCGGACAAGCACAAGATGGAGTACGTGCGGGGAGATCGGTTCGGGCCGGAGTTTACAACGCGACGAGCTTGGTCTCTGCATCGGTTTTTGAAACGTTTGACGCTTCATCCTGTGCTTCGGCGGGCGCCTCTCCTCACTATCTTCTTGGAATCGCCGGACTGGAATGCGCATATGCGCCTGCACTCAACACGGGTATCAACAAATACCGGGTCGGACGGTGCAGCTACTGGTATCTTTGATAACTTTACTGATTCCTTTGTCAACGCCTTCTCTAAAGTCCACAAGCCAGACCGGCGCTTTATCGAGGTGCGAGAGAAGGCCGATAAGCTGGACGAAGATCTATCACATGTGGAGAAGACCGTGGCACGGGTTGCACGACGTGAATCTGATCTGGGGACAGACTATGCTGAGCTAGCGACGCAGTTCCGCAAACTCGTCCCGTTAGAGCCTGCTATTGAGATGCCACTGCAGGTCTTTGCAGCTTCAGTGGAAGAAACCGCGCGCGGGATGCGCGGGCTGAAGGACCACACCGACCAGAACTACTTGGGCTCGCTGCGCGATGCCGAGTCGTACATCATGTCCCTCAAGTCCCTGCTGAAGACACGCGAGCAGAAACAGCTCGATTTCGAGGCCTTAGTCGATTACCGCAATAAAGCTGTGACCGAGCGTGACTCTCTGGCTGCCAACCCAGCTGCTTACTATGCCTCAAACCCACTCACTTCTTCCCCAGCATCTTTCATCCGCTCCAAAATGGAGGACATGCGTGGCGTCGATCACGAACAGTCCCGTCGCGAGCGTGTGCGGAAGCTTGAGCTCCGCATTGACGAATTGACCCGCGAGGTCGAGTCTGCCAAGACTACTTCCGAGATGTTCGACGAAGAGGTCATCCGCGAAGTCGCGGATTTCGAACGTATCAAGGCGGTCGAGTTCCGAGATGGACTCGGCTCCTTTGCCGATGCGCACATCGAGTTCTATCAGGGCGTCCTTTCTACATGGGAGCGGTTTGTAGCAGAGATGGAGGGCGAAGCTGAGCCTGGACATGACTCTGATGCGGCTGCTATCGGAGCAATTTAGCTATTCCGACGTAAGCATGCTTGAGTCGTTATACGGACCGAATCTGATATAGCAGTTCATATCTGTCGCTTTCGCTAGCTTATTCAGTGTTTCATACCCGCAATACCATCATGACTCTTCATTTATTCAGATATGCAGTCACACAGGCGGTCAGATTCAATAGCAGATGGATAAAGATAGCGATGAAATTAACTCCCATGTATTGAAAGGTCAAGAGCCATTAAAAAAAGAAAAGAGGGAGTCCTATCAACCAGTCATGACCCGGAGCTGTATGCATTAATATTGTTTGTACTGTTTGCACTGCACTTCTATCTTCGATCATCCGATTCAACCTCCGAATCACCTAACAAAATGCGTCCAATCTCCAGAGCCGTCCTTCGGCCGTATGTTTGCCCAACTTGCCGGCAGGGCATTAGCGCTGGCCGGCGGCGATTTGGGTCTAAGTCGGATTCCCCCGACCTCTACGATGTGGTTTGTGTTGGAGGCGGCCCCGCGGGCCTAGGGTTATTGGCTGCACTTCGTATGTATAACCAGCATAATGCAGATAAGCAGGGCATATGCTGATACTACGTTACTGCAGGAGCATCACCTATTACCTCAAAGCTCAAAGTCGCCCTCATCGAGAGCCAGGATCTCCGCAAAGCCAAAGCCTGGGACCTCGAACCGAACCAGTTCTCCAACAGGGTCAGCAGCTTGACTCCCTCGACCGTGTCTTTCCTGCGTAGCATTGGCGCCTACAATCACCTCGATGTCAATCGCGTGCAAGAATACCAGGACATGCAGGTCTGGGACGGCCAAACCGGGTCCCGAATATCATTCGATTGGTCAATGGAGACATCCCCATTTGAAGACATGCGCACTGTAGCAACAATGACCGAGAACGCGAACCTGGTGCGCGCCTTGCTGCGCCGAATCGCCGACTCAGGCGACGAGAACCTCTCCCTCTTCTCAAACGCCACAGTCGCCTCCATCGAGAACGGCTCAGACCTCAAACCCGAAGGTCCCGACCTCTCAGCCTGGCCAGTCCTCACCGTCAAGCCCACAGGCCCAGCCGCGGAAACAGAGACACCCAAGCGCATCGCCGCCCGCCTCCTCGTCGGCGCAGACGGCATCAACAGCCCCGTCCGCTCCTTCGCAGACATCCCCACCCAAGGCTGGGACTACGGCCGCCACGGCGTCGTTGCAACCCTCGCTCTCGACGAGCCAGCCACCCCACCCTTCCCTGCCTCAAAGCGCACAGCATACCAGCGCTTCCTCCCCGCTCTCGGCGGCCCCATCGCCCTCCTCCCCCTACCAGATAACCATGCAACCCTCGTCTGGTCAACAACCCCCGAGAACGCCGCCTACCTAAAGTCCCTCCCAACCCCGGCCTTCCTCGCCATGGTCAACGCCGCCTTCCGTCTCGACATGACAGACCTCACCTACATGATGGGCATGCAATCCTCCTCTTCCGATTCCACATCCCACCAAGACGAACTCACCTGGCGCGCCCAGCACACCCCCTCCCATCCCAAATCCCTCCCGCGGCAACAGCCGTACAGACAGGAACAGTCGCGTCCTTCCCTCTGCGCTTCCGACACGCGGCGCAGTACATCTCGCCGCGCATTGCGCTCGTCGGCGACGCCGCGCACGTCATCCACCCGCTCGCGGGACAGGGCTCTTAATCTCGGCTTGGCGGATGTTGCTTCGCTCTCGAAGACTATTCAGTATGCTGTCTCGCATGGAATGGACATTGGTGACTTGCTTACTCTCGAGCGATACTCGTCTGAGCGGTACTTGCCCGATGCGAAGATCGGCGGCGCTTGCGATCTCCTGCATAAAATGTATAATGTTCCTGGTGAAGGGCCTGTTGCTTGGGCGCGCAGTCTTGGACTAGGCGTTGTTGATCGGTTGCCTTTTGTCAAGTCGTTCTTGATGAAGAATGCGGAGGGATATTAGTTGGGTTGTGTATATGTATGGCTTTTTCTGTGTATTGTACTTCTACTCTTTTTTTATGCAAGCCTTTTCTATACTTCTATACTTCTATACTTCTATACTAAGTAATACCTTTGCTTCTCAACCTTGGAATGACTTGAAACGTCTTGTAAAGGTCGTGATATAAGCCGTGTGGCCATATTATAAAACTCTATCAAGCAAAAGCACAGGAAATGCAATGAATTGGGTATTTTGGTAATTCCACTAAAGACACCAACCCGATCTATGAAAAATCCATGGATATCCTAGTTCTTTTCTCTCAACAATAACCTCCCAGTCCTTTTGATAGGCCATCGAGCTCCCAAGCCCGACAATGCAAGAGATCTACACAATTTTAGGGTAACATAGAAACCCTCTGAAAACACGCTCTAAAGGAAAACAAAAATGAAAAATGCAAAACCCACAACTGTTTAACGCTTAAACACTGGTGCCCTGCAACTGCTGCGCCAGAGATGAGATGACACCCTGCTGCTTCTTAGCAAGGCGGGTTTGCAGCTCGGGAACCAGGGAGGCAATTTCAACCTCGACACCCTCCTTCTCGGGGTGTCCTTCGAGCAGACCCATCTCCTTGATGCGGCACTTGCCAGCAGCGAGCTCTTCCTCGCCGAGAATAATGCCGAAGGGAATGGCGCCTTGTTCGGCGGCCTTGAACTGCTGGGGCAGCTTGGGCTTCAGCTTGTAGGAGAACTCAGCCTGGAGACATGCATGTTAGTAATTGTTCAAATAGATCAAGATTGACTGAAGTGACTGAAGTGGAAGGCTTACCTTAATACCAGCACTCCACAGCTTCTGGCAGATTTCCATGCGCTCCTTCAACATGCCGTTGAAGCCCTTACCACCGAAGGCCATGACGTAGGCGTCGACCTCGCTGTTGCGAAGGGCATCGGACTTCTGCTCGCGCTCGAGACGTGCCTTGGTGATGGAGAAGATACGGTCGACACCGAATGAGATTCCAACACAGGGGATCTGCGCCTTGGGCTGGAACATGCCGACCAGGTTATCGTAGCGGCCACCGGCAGCGACACTGCCAACGCCGAGAGTAGGATCGTTGGATCGGTCCTCTTCCTCGACGGGCTGCTTGGACTTGCCCTTATTGGACTTCTCGGCCTTCTGTGCCTCCGGGGAGTCGGCCTGGACACCAGCCGAACCCTCGGTGACAACCTCGTAGATGACACCGGTGTAGTAGTCCAGACCACGGGCAAGGGACATGTCGAATGAGACCTTGTCCAGCACGCCGAATGCCTCTAGGTAGTCCATCATCAGAGCCATTTCCTCGAGACCGGCCTTGGCAGAGGCATTGGCGTTGAGGGTCTCATCCTTCAGGAGAGAGTCGAGCAGCTCCCGCGAGCCCTTGTTCATAACGTATTGCTCAATACGGTCTGCCACCTCAGGATCAAGACCCTTGTCGTCGACCATTTCCTTGCGCACATCCGCCCACGGCATCTTGTCCAACTTATCGACGGCACTGGAGATAGGCCGGAGCATCTTGTCGGGCACACCACAGACGGCAAAGACACCGTCCAGGATCTTGCGGTGGTTGAGCTTGATGGTGTAGCGGCCGGTCCAGCCCAGCTCCTCGAAGACCTCGCTGACGATGCGCAGGATCTCGGCATCGGGCACCATAGCATCGAAGGTACCGGCGATATCGAAGTCACACTGGTAGAACTCACGCATGCGGCCCTTGTTGATAGCGGGCTGGTCACGGCGGTAGACCTTGGCGATGTGGTAGCGCTTGATGCTGCGGACGTCGGGGTTCATGGCGAGCCAGCGCGCGAACGGCACCGTCAGGTCGTATCGCAGCGAGCAGATCTCGCCACCTTGGTCCTTCAGGTCGTAGATGAGCTTCGAGTCCTCGCCATATTTGCCAGCCAGGATCTCGCGCAGCTCGAAGACTGGGGTGTCCAGTGCGGTACCGCCGTGGCGCTTGAAGACGTTTGCAATGGTGGTGAAAATGCGGTCTCGGAGGAGGGCATCGGACCCGGACCAATCCTTTGTTCCCTTCGGGGTCTTGAGGTTGAAGGTAGGTCCCTTGTCTTTCCCCATTGTGATTGATTGAGCGGAGCGAGGGGAGGTGGAAAAGTGTCGAGTGCGGCGGGGATGATTTATTTGGTGGGGGGTGGTGGGGGCAGGGATATTATTTTTATTCGAGATGACTCGACGGTTCTGCAGGGCAAAGGAATGAGTCAGGCGAGAAATTGGAGTTAGACCAAATGGATTGGCAATTGCTCGTTGTACAGAGCGCAAGGGAACAGGAATGGACGGCATATAAAAAAGAACGGCGCTGCGAAACAAAATTATTTGGTTCAATGGGCATCTCCTGGCCTCCTGAGGCATCTGCTGGTTCGGGAATTCTTTCTGTTTGGGGATGTTTTTCCGATGTAGTTTATCCGGACAACACTTCAAGTGTTCTTTTCTTTGCTTTACAGCATAGCTACTGTATACATACATGTATGTGCATATGTACAGGTGCAAAGAAATGGATATAAGTGCCCCTTGTGTGATATCTCATATTACTTGCCTAATTACCTATGCCTATTACCTAGGTATGCACAAGTAGTCCGACAAGTCAAACTCTGTAGGCATTTGTATACCTGTCAGAAGATATATATTAAGCCTCAAGGCGTTATATAGCCAAGTTCTGGATTCTGGACTTCCCCGGATCTGCCCTTACCGAAATGGACAGGCCCAAGGTTGAAGGGGAAATGCTCTTTCCTCTTTGGGACTATGGGAAGGTAACATTCCGATGTCATCGTACAGTGACTATTTCAAGTACATCCATGGAAGTACGTATATTGTACTCCGTATATTGTACATTACATTGTAGAAATGCCTGTGGCTATGACATCTGTACAGTAAATCGCTCAAGTCGGGGAAAACTGACTCGGATCTACTCCACAGTAACGTCATTTCATGCGATAGAACTAAGTAACTAGAGTGGTGACTAGAGCGACTAGACTGGTTAGACTGATTCAGTACAATATACGGACTCCGTTGCTTTCCTATCTTCTACACACTCCAACATGCATGCGTCTTTTTACCGAGCCCCCTTGAAAGAGGTCAAGCTCGCCACCCCCTCCATGTAGTCCATACGGATTTGGCAAGCGACATTACTCGTTTAATTTGCTGTTTCTCATTGGCGATGTGGTCAGATCCTGTGAGTTTTGATCAGACGTTGAAGCCAGATTACCCAGATTAGCCCCATGGGTGGGAACGTGCGTGGTACTCCGTACCGAAGGAATGGCTGGATTGGTATTTGCGGTGTTGGACCCCGCAAGGGGTTGAACCTGATATGGGCTGACGTTGGCCACCATCAGATCCCATAAGCACCAGGAATCTCCCAGGTGTGCCAGTGAGATATCCCCTTGTGTTCCGGTCACATTTTAGGGAAAAGAGTTCAAGTATGTAAGGAACAGTCACATTTCGACTTTGGGGGGGCTCCACCGCCACTTTCCTTTTTTCCCCACGATGGGAATGATCATTGGCCGTTGTGGCTACGCCATGCGAGGGGCGGACACATGGCCCGTGAGCGAGGGCGGCTGAGAGCCAATCAACCCGTTGGAATTCTTGGTTGAGCGATGAGAGGAGTCCTTCTCCCATGGACGTGGGGGGTAAGAAAGGTTACTGGGGAAAGGCGTTATGGCCAATGAATATAAAATGGGGCTCCGGTATAGCCGGTGTATCTTTTTGTGATAAAGAGAGTAAAGTTGTAGAAATTCGGCGATTGGACCAGTACCTGCCTTAGGTCACCACGTGGAGTCGAGGCTAAGATGAATGGGGTAGGTCGAGAGGAGATATTTATGTATGTTGATGTTCTTTTTCTGGATGATTCTGTTGCATTTCAAAGTTGGAGATGTTACTTTTGTTACTTGACTTATGTTACTTATGTTACTACATGTATGATATTGTATGAGATTACAATAAATTGGGTCCATTCCAGTGTAAACTCCCCTCTCTTAACGGTGTAAAATTACATTCACTTCTTTTAATCTCTTTAATTGCTTTAATCTCTCTAATCTCTTTAATCTCTTTAATCTATTTCTCTTAAATCTCCCTTAAAACATATTACCCCATAAACCCTTGGATCTCTTCATTCTCCCGCCCCCCCCTCTCTCATTTCCGGAACCCCAGAAACCTTATGTGATCAAACGACAATCACTTTATTTCCCCGGACTCGCTTCATTTCCTTCTCATCTCTCCACATATATCACACTGGTCTTCAAACACTCTGAGCACTGTCATCAATGCAGAGTGCGACCGACCATTAAGCCATCATGAAGGCCCTCTTCTCCAAGGGCTCGAAGAATGGGGTGAGTGACAATACATCCCTACAGCCATGCTCTCTCAACCTGGTAGCACAACAGATGCTTCGGGCAACCCCTCGTGAGACCATTCAGATTGGGACCGCTGACTTGAGACTTTCCACTTTGCGCAGGCTTCCAACCCCCCGGCCACGGCGCCACCCGTGAAAAAAGACCTCCAGGTACCGCAGATTTCACCGCTAGAGAAGAGGTTACAGGACATGGGATCTATCCGTGCCGATGGGAGTGACAAGTTTTATGGAATGGAAAATGTGAGTCTCGGTCTTTCGTCTTTCCCGGGAGTCTGTCTTGGATCGCAAAGTCACTAACCGCAACCGCCCCGCGCTTGTCTAGTATGGAAACACTTGTTACTGCAACTCCATCCTGCAATGTCTCTACTATTCCGTTCCCTTCCGTGAAGCCGTCATCAACTATCCGCAACGCACGCCCATGGACAGCCTCGAGGCTGCCCTCGCAAAGAACCTACGTTATCAGAACCCAAATGCACACCTTGAAGCCGAGGCGCTGGCTGCCAAACAAAAGGCTTCCTCACCACCATCCGCGCGCCAGGCCGGTGTACCCCCGAATCCAAACCAGAAGCCGGAGGACAAGGATTCGCCGGAATACAAGAAGAAGGTAGCACTGCAGACCCTTCCGATTCTAGAAACCAAGAACAATGCCTCCAGTTATGGGATGTCGGAATCCCTTTTCACTTCGCTCAAGGACATATTCGAATCGGTGGTAGGAAGCCAAGCACGCATCGGTATTGTTCGCCCGCAACAGTTTCTGGACGTTCTACGACGAGAAAATGAAATGTTTCGGACCGCCATGCACCAGGATGCGCATGAGTTTTTGAATTTGCTCCTCAACGAGGTGGTAGCCAATGTTGAAACGGAAGCCACGAAGCAAGCCTTCACAGAGAAGGCTCTGCCACCAACAGAGAGTGCGGATTCGTTGGGAATGTTGACACCTAGCACGGGTTCGAAGTCACCAAATACTACGAGATGGGTTCACGAGCTGTTTGAGGGCACTCTGACGTCCGAGACCAAGTGTCTCACCTGTGAAAAGGTCTCGCAGCGAGATGAGGTGTTCTTAGATTTATCCGTGGATCTCGAGCAGCATTCATCCGTGACTTCTTGTCTCCGGAAGTTTTCGGCCGAGGAGATGCTTTGTGAGCGCAACAAGTTCCACTGCGACAACTGCGGTGGACTGCAAGAAGCGGAGAAGCGGATGAAAATCAAACGTTTGCCCCGTGTGTTGGCTTTGCATTTGAAGCGTTTCAAATACACAGAAGACTTGCAGCGACTGCAGAAGCTGTTCCATCGCGTCGTCTATCCCTACCATCTTCGTCTGTTTAACACCACAGACGATGCCGAGGATCCTGACCGGCTTTATGAATTGTATGCGGTGGTTGTTCATATTGGCGGAGGACCGTATCACGGCCACTACGTTGCTATTATCAAGACCGAGGACCGTGGTTGGCTGCTATTCGACGATGAGCTCGTGGAACCGGTTGACAAAAGTTACGTGCGTAACTTTTTTGGAGATCGACCCGGATTGGCGTGTGCCTATGTTCTGTTCTATCAAGAGACAACTCTTGAGGCTGTCATGCGAGAGCAGGCACAAGAGAACCAGGCCCCTACGAGCGCGGCAGCCGAAACAGGCGATGCCGGAAAGCCTAATGGATCTCCCTTCTCACCACCCTTCTCACCACCGCTAGCTCATGCCCAAAGTGCATCACAGGTACCGCCTGACAGCACAACTTCCTCCATCCCTCTCAGCCGAATCCCAACTGCACCCCAACTGTCTACCTACCCAGAAGAACCCTTGGAGCCCAATCCAGCTTCACCGCGGACCGTTCAACCGCCTCTCCCTCCGATCCCTGACGAACCAGCTCCCCCGTTGAGCCCAAAGAAGAGTGATCACCAACTACGGAAGGAACGTCGGGCTATGGAGAAAGAGAAGGATAAGAATGAAAAGAACCGCCTGAAAGAGCAGGATCTGCATAACCGAGAAATGCAGCGACGAGAGGCAGATGAGCTGAAAAGAGCCATCGAGGCTAGTAGGGCCGACACGGTCGATTTAGCCGCTGAGAATGGATCACCAAGGAAGTCGAGCAGTTTCGGCTTCTTAAAACGAGGCAGCCGCAGTCTCAGTCATCGACTTACCAAGGACAAGGAGCCGCGAGTCTCAACATCGGATCTGTCGACCTCACCGCTTCTTCCGGAAGTTGTGCCAGAAGGACCCCTCAAGGATGCAGAACCAGCCCAGCCAGTGAACAAACCAGCTCAGCCGATCAAGCCAACCAGCCCGGTCCAGCCAGTTCAGTCACCGGTTTCTTCTCCGAGAAATTTCCCACCTATTTCCAACCCTAAGCAACCTAAGCAACCCATCCGAAACCCCGAGCCCTTGGCCAAAGAGCAACACACCAACAATACGAAGCCCGGCCATACCCCTCGGTGGAGATCTTTCAGTTTCAAGAAAGTGGCATGAACTAGAATCCGTGTTTTTTTCTTGTTCAGACAGCACTTGCTTTTGTTTTTCACCTCATATCTTCAGCCTGGCTTTCACGGAGATCCCCCTATCATCTTGCACATATGAGCGCAAATTTTGCTTCTGCACATAGTTTCCTCTAATGGATGTACTATCATGTTCTTATGATCTGCGCTTCTCCATCTTCCATTCTCCTGTGGAGGTCCTCGATCCCGGGGTATTTCCACAGTCATGTCTTTTTAGACTCTGTTGGATCTCAGATCCCGCTGGTTCTGTTTTACTTGCTTTCCCCTCAGGGCTATTGTATCTTGCTGATTGATTTGTATTCTTTTCTTTTTTCTCTCTTGCTGTCATTGCTTTTCACCACTGCCGCTTTTGTATCATGTACAACGGCGTGATACCTATACAGGACCGAATCCTGGCAGTTTTGCGAAAAGAGGCGTATTGGGTTTGCTATTTCTTGCTGGCGAGCGTGGGTCTTTTATCGGATTCGGCGTTTTGAACTCTTTTTACATGTCTCATTTTAAGTGAGCGAATCTTCTCTTTTTTAGCATGTGTTCAGTTCGTTGCTCCAACTTTTGCGTACTTGCAGTGATTCGGTTTGTTACTGTCATCTGGTCATCTATACACGGGAAAGGCCGGTCACTAACTCGAATAAGAGAACGAATAGAAAATAGAGGTTTGCTACGCTGTTACAAACACCATACCCAGTCCTCTTAACTTCACATAAACCATGTCTCAGTCATGTGTCCATTGCGGTCCTAGCATTTTGGTGGGTATATAGGTACAGGCCAGAAGTAATCAAAACAAACGCGCCGAGGGGAAGATGGGCTTTCGATGCACGCCACTGTTCCTGTCACCCTCAAGCAACGAATTCACCAGCGAAAACATAGAGTAAATGCCTGGCAGCGGTGTTCCGGTCCTTTTACACATAACCCAGTTCCACCTCTCTGCCCCCAAGTATGCTCCATGCTCGTGAATCGTGCCGCGTTTCTGGCTTAGGCGTCATTAATGATATAGAGGTATCGGGTATGAATGGCTCGTCGGAAGAGAGGTCACAGCGCAAGTCGTAGTGAAGAGCTATGTAGGTTGGCAGACAGCAGTGTAGCTATCGGCTGGGTCGCAACGGATCCGTGGGAGAATTCGGAGCGTGGAGGAAATGGCGAAACGGCGAATTTAACCAAGAATCAGCTCGTAGACAACGATGACTGTGTTGATGACGATAAGGGGTACTGGATTGTGGATGTGTTAGCTATTCTGTCGGGCCATGGAGTGTCTTTTTTATAAAGCAGAGCAGTTTGCGACATATTCAATCTTGACAACTATCACTCAGGTCCAAGATGCAAGACTGCCCTGGTTATATTGGGCTGCGGGGGTCGGGAAACGTACTTCGCATCACGGTCCGCACACTGGCGATCAGGTTGACGGACTTGGCTTTCACGCTTGTGCTATCGTATGTCGCGCCGAAGCCCGGCTCGGCTTGTGTGCGACCCCATCCAACTGTATATTCCAGTATCGTTAGGTTCTTATCTTTATCTTCGGGGGGTGTAGCTGGGAGGGACATACCGCGAGCTAGGAAGCGGTCCTCGGAAAGAACGGCGATGGCATTAATGATAAGGATGATGACTGGGAGATAGGATATTAGTATAAGCTGAAGAATGAGGAACACAATTACATACCATAAAACAGCTTCCCAAGACCGAAGAAAAACATCTTTGCGGGTTGGGGATGTTAAAAGGTGAAGTGCGGGAGGCGCCAGATCTCCGGACTAACACTCTTCTCGGATGCAGTCATGGGATATAGTTCGTTCGCTCTATATAAGAACACCAAGTTGATAAACTAATAATAAACTAACTGATTTTTTTTATAGCATTTGCGATTCTCGCTCTTCTCTTCCCAGCCTTGATTCTCCTTCATCTCCTCGTCGCTCCATACACCAAAGTCGAGGAGTCGTTCCACGTCCAGGCCGTACATGATATCTTAGCCAACGGGCTACCCAATGGCTTTAATGACCTGAATCTCAACCGCGCCAACTATGACCATTTCTCTTTCCCGGGGGCTGTTCCCCGGAGCGCCATTGGCGCTGTGGCCCTTGCTATGCTCTCGAAGCCCGTGATCTGGTTGAATGAGGGGATCAACCGACAGCTATTAGGTACGGCATGGATTTATACTGCTATACATCCTACCAAGCTAACACTGGCATCTAGCTCGAGCTATTCTGGGCCTGCTCAATGCCTCCTCTCTAGCAGTCTATGCAAGAGGCCTGCGCCATAGCTTCGGCCAGCCAGCAGCTATCTGGTATATCCTACTCCAAGCAAGCCAGTTCCACTTGATATTCTATGCCTCAAGGCCACTATCAAACATGTTCGCCTTCAGCATGACAACGCTAGCAATGTGTCTGCTCCTCCCAAGCCCTGTCCCAACATCCCAAGACCAAAAGCAATACAGCCTAGCACTCGCCCTCCTCACCACCGCAGGCGTAATCTTCCGCTCCGAACTAGCCCTCCTAGTCGGAACACAGACTCTCTTCCTACTAGCAACCAGACGAATCAACCTCCAACACACCATCATCGCAGGCCTAGTAGGCCTCACAACCGGCCTCACTCTCACAATCTACCTCGACAGCACATTCTGGCAACGCTTCCCACTCTGGCCGGAATTCGAAGCCTTCCGCTTCAACGTCCTGGCAGGCCAATCGTCCGAATGGGGCACAGAGCCATGGTCATTCTATTTCCTAAACGCCCTCCCCCGCCTCCTCTTCAATCCCCTCTCCTACCTCCTCGCCATCCCCATCGCCCTCCGACAACCCGCCACGCGATCACCAGCACTGGCACTTCTAATCCCGGCGCTGTCCTTCGTCGCCATCTACAGCTTCCAGCCACACAAGGAATGGCGCTTCATCGTCTACATCATCCCCTCCCTCACGGCAGTTGCAGCCCTCGGCGCCGCATATCTCTGGACGCATCGCTCGCGCTCTGTTTTCGCTCGTCTGGCGACTCGCGCCTTGGCTATCTCCACACTCGCCGTGTTCTGCCTGTCGAATTTTGTTCTTCTTCCTGCGTCTGCGGCAAATTACCCTGGTGGTCAGGCTCTCGACGCTATGCATTATCAACATTCTATCCTCCGTGAGACAGACTTGCATGATACGACCAATGCTTCTGTCAATGTCTACCTAGGTAACCTCGCCTGCCAAACGGGTGTAACACGCTTCTTGCAACAACCCCCTTCGTCGGGATGGGTATACGACAAAACTGAAGACAAGGCCATTAAATCTACTAGTGGGTTCTGGGACCGGTTTGATTATGTCGTTGTCGAGGCGGATAACGAGGCCGGCTTCATGGATGCTGATGAGACGAGTCTTCGGCGTGCACTCCCTGCCTCCGAATGGGAGAGGGTGCTTGTCGTAGATTCGTTTGCGGGGATTTCGGTTTTGAAGCCTGGGACTCCTGCTACTGGAACTGCTGAGCGCCGTGTTATCAGTACTATTGCGGGTGCACGTGCTGTTGATTTGTTTGAGGGTCTGCGCGAGTATGTGAGGAATACCTTGTTGCGAGGGTGGTGGGTTGAGGTTAAAATGAGACCGAGGGTTCAAGTGTTGAGGCGGGTGAATAGAAGGGGGTAGAGTCTAGCCTGTTAATCTGTCTACGTTTATATTATAATGATGTTTCCATGTTTCTATAAAGCCAACAGGGCCATCTGGTATGGAACTGATATTAACAATCGAAGATAACTACAATATGCCCTCAACACTCGACACATGCAAACTGGGTATTATTCATCAAACCTCTGCCCGGAACAGATCAAAAAAGTAGACACAAGAAATAGATCACAGTGCCGCGGGGCCTTCCAGACGCGCCAGACGAGACTCCAAATCACGCACCCAGGGCTCGACAGTCTCCACGTTAGAGCGGAGAGCAGCTTCGCCCTGCTGCATCTTCTCTTCGACGGTCGTGAGACCTTCGCGCCACTGCTCGATCTCCGACGCCATCTCGGCATGGCGCTTTTCGAGCTCATTGAGCGAGTCCGCGGCGTGGGCTGCGCCAGCATGGCAGGCGCGCAGAGAACGCAGACGCTCGAGCACGCTTGGCAGCAGCGGGTGCAGGGATTGGATGGTTGGGAGGGTGGTGTATAGAGCTTGGATCTTGGCGACATGGTCGTCGTCGGTCGATGCTTCTAGTGCAGGGACAACGTCGGTGTCGGAACTTGCTAGTCGGGCGTTGTGAACGGCCTTTGCGGCCTCGAAGGCTTTTCTGCGCGCTGCGGTGAGCGCCTCGGCGTCGGTGGTCAATTTTCGCACTCGCGTGGAGAGAGCTTCCATGTGTGGGGTTGTCATGCCTGGCGCGGCATTGGATACTCCTGGCGCTGTGCTTGCTGGGCTCGTGCCGACGAGAAGTCCGGTTAGTGCTGAGAGACGGGAGGCGAGCTGGTCAAGAGCTGGGAGGACTGGGTGCGACGTTGACTCGTTGACGCCGTCGGCTATGAATGGGTTGGATGAACTTGAGACACCGATGGAGCTTTCCAGAAGCGCTAGACGGCTGTCAAATGCTGCCGCGTGAGAGAGGATCCCTGCCGAAGAGGCATTTGGGGCCGGCACTGTGGAGACTGCCTTCGATGCATCGGCCGAGGATGGTGTCTTTGCGTCTGCGGTAGAGCGAGTCTCGGATCCAAGCTTCTGGGACAGTAAAGCAGCAGCCGAGTGTGATGAGTTCGCCGCACCTCGCGAGGCGTGCAGATTGTCCAGAGCGCGACTCAGCTCCGCAACGCCATCACCTAGGTTCTCTCCTGGCTTTTCAGCTGCTGCTGCACCTCCAGCCTCAGCGTCGGGTTTGTTCGCCATTTCCACCTTGAGATCTTCGACCTCTCTCCGCAGGCGCGCAAGCCTCCGCTCAAGCGACTCGTCCTCACTGTCACTCAAGTCACCAACTTCCTCTACCCCATCCTCGCGTCTCCGCCGACGGCGGCGGCTCATGCTCTTGCTCCGGTAAGCCTGCCGTTTCATAGAAATGCTATCTGAGAAATTGACGTCTCGGGCGTCCACGGCCGCACCCATGAAGTGCATACGCGCCTGGTCCGGGTTGACACCCTCGCGGTCGATGTCGGAGTTTGAGCCTGCATCATCATGGTCGGAGTCTGTGCGGATAGTGGCAGTCTAGACAGGATCAGTGATTATGCCCACTGACGTGTCTTTGTGGAATTGGCGAACTCACGGGCAAGGTGGATGCTTCGTCGGTCAAGTCGGGAGTTTCATAGATATCTGGGGATGGGTCCTGGGTCACAGTTAGTGGAAAACCCAGTGGATATCAACATCCGGTATTCCGGTAATTCTCACCAGATCAGGAAGCCCGGCATATTTCTTATTGAAAGACATGATTGGATTGTAGCTCCTAAGTACGTATAGTAAACACCGAACTCTCCTTAATCACATGTACAGTCAGCAGATCATGTGACCTCTTGCCTCGGATTGAGGAACAACCACATGCAATTGACGCAATTGGGGCCTTGAAGCCCATCCCAAGACAACTATATATTAAGTGGCATCGCTTGGAAGTTGTTCCCTTTTCTTCTTTTTTACCCCTGAAGTTCCAAGTTTCTCTTCAACTGACCAAATCACCTTTTCGTGGCTCATCAACTTCCCCCCACCATCCCCGCATTCCCATCTTCAACCAGCTACTATATACAACATACATCAACCTTCAAGATGGCCGCCCCTGCTGATATTACTATCCAGAACCTGAGTGGAAAATGGGAGATGGTATGTCCCAACAAGAACTCAAAAGCTCTAGAAAAAGCAAATCAGATTGAATACTCATGTGTAACAGGACTCAACCCACTCTAACCCAACAGACCCCATTCTAACTCTGGTATGCATAAGCCCTATCCCGTCCCGCCAAGTTACCCCAATATAAAACAGCCAAGCCTCTTCCCCTGTCATAATTCACCCTCCAATCATACAAATTCATAATTCACAATCCCCGTCATAACAATCATTATATTATACCCACCATGCACTATACCATACATAACCCTACCCACAAACCCAACTAACAAACCCAAACAGCAAGGAATGGGCTGGGTCATGCGCAAGGCCCTCTCCTACGCAACAGTGACAATCTACGTCAAGCAGTACGCAGACAGCGAGAACGCAGCGCTCATCCACATCGATTCGCAGCAAGTAATCACAGGCGGCATCCAAGGCACCAAGGAAGAGCGCAAGCTAGACTGGGAAGCGCGCGAGCACGTCGACCACATCTTCGGCAAGCTGCAGGGCCGCTCGCGCCTCATCGCCGGCGCCAAGAGCGAGGACGGCGCTGTGCGTCCTGTCATCGAGATCCAGACTAAGGTCGGCTCGCCTGAGGAAGATGCTAAGGTGCAGAAGTTCCTGACTGGCGAGATTCTCATTGATGGGTCGAAGAGCGAGGGATTCCTGGCCGAGGAGGGTGAGGCCGTGTTCTTGCAGAGCTTTGTGAAGAATACCGAGAATGGGTGGACTGCTGAGCAGGTTTGGGGATTTGAGACTGTTGATGGCGAGAGACGTCATACTCGTCGTGTCGTTGTTACTAAGGATGGGAAGGTTGCGTCTGCTAGACTTGTTTACGCTTTTAAGGATCGCAAGACTGAGGAGTAAGATGTTCTTCCTCGTGTGTTGAGTATGGACTTTGTACTTTCTTTCTCGGGTTTTCATGTTTGCTATGAATCTTAGGCCAATATAGCATTCTACCTGGGCAATTGACTTTGATTAAAGGTAGTACCTATCGGGGAAGTATTGAAGCTGATCATAGACATGCTATAACAAAGATGAAGTATGAAGTTTTTGAAATTGTTTCATTTCCGAGAATCAATATCATTATAACGCTGCATGCACCGTTCAATTTGGTAATCCGTGTCCAAATTCATGAATGCTGGGATATAAAAACAAGCATATGACTCAGATACATTCATTGACATCCATGAGGCGTGCGTTTTGTTTAAGTAGAACAGACAAATTTTGTCATGCGTATAATCGGCTAAAAGAAATATAAAAAAAGCAAGAGAGGCAGACACCAAGATATTTACGAGTGAGTGGGCATCACCACGTGGGCCTTGGTGCTGACTGCATCCTCGCTCTTCCAAAGGCTGGTGACAGTCTTCTGCTGGGTATAGAACTGCAAGCCAGGCTTGCCGTAGAAAGTGTTGGCACCACCACCGGCAATACTCTTCTTGTTACCGGTGAAAGAGAACATGGGAAGAGGGACAGGAATGGGCACGTTGATACCGAGCTGGCCAGCCTCGCATTCCTTCTGGAACTTGGAGGCGGTCGACCCGGAGCGGGTGAAGATGGCGGCACCGTTGCCGTATTCGTTGGCGTTAATCACGTCAATGGCGTCGTCAAGCGTCTCGACATTGAGGCAGACAAGAACGGGACCGAAGATCTCCTCCTTATAGCACTTCATATCAGGGGTGACATTGGTGATAATAGTAGGGCCAACCTGCGGAGACATAATTAGTTTGAGTTACACAGATGTAGAGAGTTCCCTATAGTGGGACTTACAAAGTTGCCGTTGGGGTAGCCCTCGGGCTTGAAACCACGGCCGTCCAGAAGAATAGTCGCACCCTCTTCCTCGGCGCTAGTAATCAGGTCCTCAATACGCTTCTTGCTCTCAGGGCTGATCACAGGGCCGAGGTCAGCACCCTCCTCAAAGCCACCGTTCACATGCAGGGCCTTAGCCCGCTCGGCGATCTCAGGCAGCCACTCCTTAGTCTCGCCAACCATAACAGTGGTGCTCAATGCCATACAGCGCTGACCAGCAGCACCAAATGCAGCACCGACAATAGCGTTAAGACACTGGTTCTTATTGGCGTCAGGCAGGACGGCGGCATGGTTCTTAGCACCCAGGTTGGCTTGCACGCGCTTGCCATTAGCAGAGCCACGGGAGTAGATGTATTCGCCAGCACGGTTGCTGCCAACAAAGCTGATAGCCTTGATAGCAGGCTCATCGAGAATGAAGTCCACAGTAGGAGCGGTACCGTGGATGATGTTAATCACACCCGGTGGGAAACCAGCCTCCTTGGCAAGCTCTGCCAGGATCATCGCAGCACCAGGGTCACGTTCGGATGGCTTCATGACCAGGCAGTTACCAGTCACGGTAGCGACAGGAATACACCAAAGGGGAATCATGGCGGGGAAGTCTTGGTGACAATTAGCATCTATGCGGAGGGATTGAGAGTGTTAACATAGGTAACTTACTGAAGGGGCAGATAGCAGCCACGACACCAAGCGGCTCACGGTAGCTTCTTGTCTCCATATCCTTGGCCACTTCCAAGACCTCACCGGTCATCTGGGTGGTGATACCACAGGCAGTCTCGGCAACTTGAAGGCCACGGAGAACATCACCCTTGGCATCGGCGAAAGTCTTACCCTGCTCCAGAGTAATGGAGGCGGCCAATCGGTCCCAGTGGGCACGAATGAGGTTAGTGAACTTGAAGATAATCTGCTGTCTGGCCATGATGCTAGTAGCTCTCCAAGCGGGGAAAGCCTTCTCGGCCGACTCCACAGCGGCCTTTAGTTCCGCATCTGTACTCTGGGGCACACGGGTGACCAGGTTGTTGGTGGCAGGATCATGGAGGTCAATCCAGGTGGATGCCTTGGATGCCACAAACTCATTGTCAATGAAGTTAGCGGTGTCAATTGGATTGGCAATCTTTTGGTGGCTTGTTGGGTATTCAGTGGCGGTGGAGACGGCTGAGGTTGTTGCGTGGACGAGCCGCTGAGCTGTTGCGTGCAAGCGGCGAGTGGCAGAGAGTGATGAAGAGGGCAAAATCGCTCTGCGAGAGGCCAAGCTACCAAGCGAAGTTGTGGCGAGAGATCGGGTTGAAGAGGCAGCTCTGGCAGTTACCGACGCCGTGCGGGGAACTGCGCGGAGAGAGGGGATGGAACGGGCAACTGACCGACAAGCAGCCATGATGAATTGAAGAGAGGGAAAAGGAATGAGATGCAGAGACAGGACAATTCACAGATTAAGTAGAAAGAGAAATGCAAAGATGATTTGGGGGTGAAAGGACCTCAGGGAATCATATACTAATGGTTACCCCAGGCCCGAGGTCAACCGCCTTAGTCACCCTACGGTTCCAAGGTACCCCACATTGTACAAATGAACCCCCAGATAAGGTAACCTCTCGGCGTTTTCAGCCAATGACAAGCTGGAAAGTGATTCTCGAATCGCCGACACTAACTGGCGCTTAATCGGGGGATCGCGTATTAGACGTTGTAGGCAAGGAACGAAGTCAATTAGGAAGGTATTTCCCTTTCAAGCCATACTTTCTGTTTTCTTCCATATTGGGCTAAAAAGTCATAGTTGCGGCACTACTAAAAGGCATAAAGGAAATTGTCTCCGAGAAAGAAAGTGAAAATACCGAGTAGAATAATAATAGCGATAAACAGGAGTATACAAATCGGGCCTCCCTTCAATGTTCTTCACCTTTTGGACTACTACATCGGCCAAGACATAACAAAAAGGGGATCACTGCGGTAACTAAATGCAAATCTCTTCGCTGGCTGGGTTTATGGGTAAAATTCTTTTCTGCGTATAATTGGTTTCCCAGTTATCGCATTTTACTCGGCCGAGGACCGGGTGGTGCGCTTGGTGGCACCGCCCTTGCTGGTCTCAGCGGAGGAGCTGACAGCCTGTTCCTTCTTCTCTTTGGGAGCACCGGCGGGCTGCTTGCCCTTCTTCTCGGCCGGGGCGGCAGGGCTGCTGGCGCCAATGGCACCCACAACGACGAGGATCATGGTCAAGAGGAGGGCACCCAGGCCACCGGCCACCTCAGGGAGGGTCTTGGCAGCGTTAATAGGGTCCTCCTTGGCCAGCTCAACGAAGTGGTTGACCTTCTGGCGGACGAAGGTCACTGGATCCTCCTGGAAGGTGACAGTGGTACCCTCTTCGTTGACCTCGGGCTTGGGCTTGCTAGCCTCCTCCTCGGCCTCCTCGATAGGGAACTTGACATCGAAGGTCTCCTTGCGGAGCTTCTCAGCATCCTCAACGGAGTGACCAACGTAGACGTTGTCAAACAGAATGTCATTCTGCATGGTCCAGATCTCGAAGCCAATAGCGCCCATGGGCTCAAGGTTGGATGGGGTCTTGTCCTCGAAGTAGGCGGGGTTCTTGATCTTACGGGGGGCCCAGACACCCTTGTAGGCAGGGTTATCGATGAGAGGGGCCTCCCACTTGCCCTTGTACTCGGGGTTCTTGATCATAGGGCGGGTCCAAGTACCACAGCCAGAGACATCGGCACACTTAGGGTTGGGGATAGTGGGAGCGAGCCAGTCTCCATCCTCCTCGTCATCCCAATCCTCGGGCTTCTCGGCCTCGGGATCGGGAATGCTCTCGGGCTCATCCTCCAGCCAGTCGGCGGGCTGAGTGGCCTCCTCATCGAGGATCTCGAAGGGAGCCTCTTCATCCCAGTCGGCGGGCTTGGTGGCTTCGGGGTCGGGGATCTTAACCTCATCGACCCAATCGGCAGGCTTAGAGTCCTTGGGATCATCAATCTCCTTCTCGGGGTTGACGGGAGGGTTGAAGTCCTCGAGGAGGCTGCCCTTCTTCGCAGAGTCACCATTGATCAGGATCTCAAAGGTCTGATCGGGGTTGACGATCAGGGTGTAGAGGGAGGTGACCTTGTTGGTGCGGGCCACAGGGGGAGTCTTAAGGTGCTTCTCTTCGTACTCGCCGGTCTTGGGGTTCTTGTGGCGGAAGATGAAGTGAACCTTGTTAGTGGCACCGCACTTATCAGGGCCGAACATGACGACATAGGGAGTGCCGTTGGAGAACTCGTCCTGGTGGAGCTTCTTGTTCTCCTGGAGAAGCTTAAGGTAGGCACCGCCGCAAACCAGGGAGTCTAACACAACGCGATTCCAGTCAGTAAATAAAATCGCGAACAATTGTAGAAACTCATGACTCACTCTGCGGCTTGACCTCGTACTGAACCACCAATGTCTTGCCCTTGTTGTCAATCTTCTTAGGGAACTTGGCGGAGATGGCGTGGTGGGCAGCAGCGTTCTTCACGACCAGACCCTTGTCGCCATCGATACCCTTGAAGACGGAGGGCTCCTCCACTGCCCATTCACCGACGTAAGCCCACTCGTCGTCGGACTTGTCGTCCTTCTTCGCGTGGGAAGGCTTCCACCGAGACTCCCAATCGTCTGTGAATTGCTCCAGGAATGGAGCTTTGAGGCTGGTAGGCTTCTAGGAGTTAGCAGGAGGCAATGGAGACGGTGTGGTTTTGGATGCATACAGTAAAGGTAGGCCTGTCAATCACGGTGGTATCGGCAGTCTCCTCCTCCGCATGGGCGTAGCCCATGAGGCTGGCGGAGGAAACCAGAGCCGATGTCAACGCAGTGTTAAAGCGCATATTGTAAACAACAAATCGAAGGAATGAAAGTGGAGCGCACAGCACCAAAATGAAGAAAAGAGGAGGTGGTTTTATAGAAAGGGCAACACTGGGGGGGAAGGTCCAGGTGGCCTCTTCAGTAAGCTCCCCAATCGGGACTAGGGCGTGTACACACGGGCTTCGATTCTGTTCTACATACATATGCACAACTACTAATAACATTAACGCTACGCAACGCGTAGCAACACTCTAAGTGGATGGGATAAAAAGAGCTAGAATAAAATATTATATTAACCAGTCGGATATTCCAATATAAGCATGTTAAGGCTTCGCTCCGCGCGTGGCCCTAACGCGAGACCTGTGGATTAACGCGGTAGCGCGAGCCCGTACCTCCACCGTGCTACTCCGTACATCTGTCACTTCTTGGCTTTCCCTTTCCATTTCAGTACTCAGGTCTTGTCGCTTTTTGCTAAGTGAAATTGAGCACGTCCCTAGGTGAGCTGATCCGCTCACTGAAATACATATGTATTATATAAGCACGACAAAATACCTAGGTACCCAGTCACTAACCTTGTGTCAGGTTCGTTAGGGAATTCGCTTGTCGCTGTAACTACTGAGGCACCACAAATCCAGATTTAGGAGACTTCATTTATTCACTATCCACCCCTATAGACAAGACGCGATCCTCCAACTTGATTACCAGCACGAGTAGTTTACTCGCTCACATAATTTTCGAACTCTCGAAATTCACTAGATGCAAGCACAGATGAAGCGGAGGGCCTTAATTTCGGATCAGGTACCAGAATGAAACGAAGAAGATCTCTTAACTGCTGCGGCATCTCCACCTTTTTCGTCTCTTCATCCAGAGGTAGGATCGCTTGTAGTTCTGGCACCCTTTCACTTAAAGATCGGGCAGATTTCACTGTAACATTAAGAAGGTCCGTCTCAGGCGCCGAGATCTCCCAGTCGGGAAAGAGCCGCTGTATCTTTGCTATAGGCCAAGCCTCGTCAAGCAAAAGAAAGGGGCTACCCCATGCCCCTAACACACCAGGTTTGATCCAGCAAAGTAACATCGCGGCAACAGCCCAGACCTGCGATGGCTCAGTGCACGCTTTGCCTAGGAAGACTTCAGGGGCACGCATAGCATATGGTTGGGCGTTAATAAGTTTGCCGATCGGGACAACTATAAGCGTGTTAGTAAAGACATACCTCGTACCTATATTAATACTTGCTCACCGAGTCCTAAGTCCCCCACTTTAGCAATGACACGGTCAGTCTGGATACCGGAGAGTAGGATATTAGCGGGTTTATAGTCTAGAGTATGTAATTAGCAAATGTCAGCTCTTTAAGACCAGGTACGTTAGGTACTCTACCTGTATTCACATATTCGTAGTTCTCGAGAACGACACAACTTGTGAACGCTACTCTTAAAAAGGACTTGATAAGGGAGTAGATACGCATATCAGGACAGTATTTCACCTCTGCGAGAGTGGCATCTAACCATTCTAAAGCGATAGTGCTGTCGTCGATTATATCATACATTTTCCGGAAACACTCGGCCGAGGCAACATTAGGAAGGCGAGTAAGTCAGAACCTCACGTTGCATGTTCTTAGTGGCAATTTCATCGCCAGGCAATGCTACTTTGATCAAAGCCCTAAGTGGCCGAGTTAGCATTGGAGTCTGGATACCGTTAATGCAATACAACGAACCATTTGGGGACTTCGGGGACGACGCATTCACGTGGAACGATCTGGGCCTTAAAAATGGTGGAAATGTGCGTGCTGTCTCCTTTAATAGGTTCTAGGACGCGGTAGTTCCAACGAGCGCCTTGAAGGACATGGCCAGGAGTAAGAGATGACATTTTCCTTGCCAAAGAGCCCCTAGCAAAGTATAAATTCAACCTGGTCGCTGAGAACATTGCGGTGAATTGAAAAAGTCGCAATTGTGAGAGTGAGGGTTCATGGGTAAATACGAAAACAATGCATTCGTATTGGAAATCATGATGGAAGGTTGGAAGGTCAGAGGGTTGTGTGTCTTTATCAGCTGAGACCTAAAACCAGCCCCCAGCTCAAATGCTCCGACCAGAACAGCCGCTTTTGCAACGAGAATGGGCCAAGTTTCCAGCGAGAACTGATAAAGTCCCCGGTTCGGGGGCAACTGGTTTTTTCTTCCTTGTAGCATCTAGCTATTTATGCAGATTCAAAATGCCTTGTGTTAAGCTCCCATCAGTAGCCCAAACCCGCAGTCGGATCAATTAGACAGGAAAGGGCTCCTGTCGCGTATCGCTGGATCGAGAAACTGTCCTAAAACGTCTGCCGCCTGGAGTGCATTAGGGGTGGCCAAAAGATAATGACCAGAAATAAGAAGCGCATACACGAAGCCTTCGAACTAGCGGCAGACAAAAACCACACAGATCCATAGAATTTCACCACGCTAGGTGTGATTGTGGATATGAACTTGCGCAAGATGTAGGCTTGGTGCCCTGTGCAGCACCCTTTGTGAATGACGATGGATATGCGTCTGGGGTTTAGTTTAAAGCATCCGATGCGTGGATTCATCTAATAGTGGGTCCGTGGATCCTGGCCCGCCAGCGGGCTAGTTGTGGGTTAGCTTAACGCTGGCACAAGGATGCATCTTCGGGCTGCAATCAACATTCGATGCGCACGATGTAACAGGCTAGTCACAGTGAAGCGCCCCTTATGCATGCGATATTACGCTAAGCGTTTCTTTCCTATGCGCTTTAACCAGTATTTGTTTCTAATCGACATTAGTTAGTATTTGAGCTTCTATCCAGCTAGACTTCTCTCTACCTAGGTACTATATACCTCTACATAAGCAGGATTCTCCGGGAAGCATGCCAGCAAGGTAGAGGTCTCATGCACCTTCACTCTTGATAAACGCTAGTCACACTAGTCATATACGTCTACGGAATAATCTCTATAGTAAAGAGACGCGATATATAGATGCTTGCACCCATGAACACGTGGTGTAGTAGATGCCCGATTGACCAAGCTAGGATGTTATGTACGGAGAAAGCTTCTCTCTCTTGGTCCTTCTTTCTCCCCTCCGTCTCTCTTTTCGGCATAAATCCTATCTGTTGATGCTTGCTTGTGCTTCCTTTCCTGTAGAAAATAGATGAGACTACGGAGAGTTTTACAATATGCATTATTACCAACGCGGTCTCGGAAATGTTCTGACTGGTACTGGTTTAGAGCCTAGTGATTATCTTCTGTCACTAGCATTCTAAGATACCGTACTCGCAGTAACACAGAGAGGTGTCCAATAAGCCCACTTCTCTACATATGTACAGAACAGGTGTAGCAATAGCTGGATGGCTATGTTATATCTAATATACCTACACCAAGTCATTTCGCTGTTGAGACGGGCATTTCTGAAATGTCTATGGACACTGTCCTCTGCTCCCTCTTCATCAATACGCCATTCAAGATAGTTGTCAAATCTTTATCCTGTATTCCTACAAGACTAAGAGTCAGTTTACCATACCACCTGGGCAGCCCTGGAGGAATTGGAATGGGTTAGTCTTTAGGGATAGAGAAACATTCAAACCCCTGGAAAAGTGTATGTTGTAGGGTGGTGACCAACCTTGGAAGGTTCCAAGGTTGGCAATTGCTTATATAATGTGTCACTCATCCAGCCCTGAAGAGCTCCTACATTTTCAAGTGTTTTATTTTTATTATTCGAGCTGTAAATATAAGAGCTATTCTAATTCCAGATTAGGAGTTATTATTATATATTATCCTGTAGTTATATAGCAATTGTCAAGTATGGATGAGCGAATGTGAGTATTGTCGCAAATGCGGTCCCGCGCAGATCTCCCCAATTACTCTTCCCCCCAATCAGACGTCCATTGGTTACACGGCACTTTCAGCGCAAAACCTCATATCTCACCTGGACTTACCTAGACAATAAGAACATTGGTTGCAATCTTAGGTCCTCTCCCCAACTTTGGAATTATCTACCTTGACCTACGCTAATCTGTCGCAGCCCATCATGTGCCCCGCAGACCAAACCGTCGCAACGAATAACAATGACCACTTGGTCCAGTCTGAGGACCCTGAGCACCCGGCCAACCTTATCCCCGAGCTCTGTCGCAAATTCTACAACTGGGGATGGGTTACCGGCACTGGAGGTGGTGTAAGCTTATACTTGGAAGGAGAAAAAATTGCAACGGTGCCCCGCTGATACAACAGTAGACCTCGATCCGTCAAGGTGACCACATCTTTATCGCCCCGTCTGGAGTTCAGAAGGAATTGATGCAGCCTCATAACATCTTCGTGCTCCAATGGCCCACCCCTAAATACCCTGCCTCGGACCGCAACTACATCCGCAAGCCCCTCAAGCTCAACCCCTCCGCCTGTACCCCGCTATTCCTGACTGCCTTCGAGCAAGGGGCTGGCTGCTGCATCCACACCCACTCACAATGGGCGGTTCTAGTCACCCTGTTGGTGGAGCGGGAGAAGGGCCCTGACGCTTGCTTCGAGATCAGCAACATCGAGCAGATCAAGGGCATCCCCCGCGGTAAAGGAAAGGGCATGCTCGGGTTCTTCGATACTTTGAAGATCCCCATTATCGAAAACACCGCCTTCGAAGAGGACCTCACCAGCGGGTTGGAGGCAGCTATGAACAAGTACCCGGACACTTACGCGGTGCTTGTCCGAAGACACGGAATGTAAGTGATAACAACCATGTGATATTGATGCCTATACTAATGTTGGTTCCTCCTGCAGTTACGTCTGGGGTGATAACACTGCCAAGGCGAAGACTCAGTGTGAGAGTCTGGATTACATCTTCCAGCTGGCTGTAGAAATGCACAAGCTGGGCCTCCCGTGGGTCAAATAGATACTGCATGGTTTCTAACGACCTATTTTATGTCCGACGGTGATTTGAGCAGGGAAAACCGTAGATAGATTACCCCGACATTATGAAGCTCCAATTGAAATGATGTGACGTATTGCGACGTGGGACATTTAGAACATGCTAGACAGTGGCTGGGCAGAGATTATCGGATAGTGGTTGGGAAGAGGGTCTGGATTCATCATGAACATAAATAAATAGCAAAAGCAGTGCCAATGGCAAAGTTGAACAAGTCAAAAGAGGTGGACTCCAAGGCTCCAGGGCTGGATCCCGTGAGTGACTAAGGATGCGGATCGGCCTCCACTCCAACCAGCTCCCTCTCCAACTCCATACCGCACCCTCTAAGCTCCGATTGAACCAACATTAATTTTAATTCGTTGATTCATCTTCTCACCGTTATTCCCTTCTCTTCGCTTCGTTCTCATACCGGTAACAATGGATCTCGACTCTGGAGATTCCCCGTGGGGCGGTAGGCAGTCATGATACCACAGCTCTTTGAATCGCGGTCTGATTTATGATGCAGATGAGCCTTCACAGTTCAAACCCAGCGACGACTCGTCCAAACCCAGCACTCAGGGAGGTGGTATGTACCATTTGACTTGTCCGCTCTTTCCACGACCTCCCACTAAGCACACTACCATACAGCAGCTGCACAAACCCCCGCGTCAGACAGCTCGCCCGCCGTCCGCTTACCAGGAAGAAGAGGCCCCCGAGGCACACGCAAGATCAGCGCACAAGCCACTAAACTCGAATCCGTCGATGATTCTGTCGACCCTCTCGGTCCATTGGGAGAAGCGCCCGCCGAGGCCACCCCAACACCCACAGATGAGGCACCAGCACCGCCCCAAAAGGAGCCTTTCGCCGGACGTGGCGCGCGACCATTCTCCTCTGCTTCCCAAGCATCTAGCGGACTCGGGGCAGCGGACTCGGCCAATGTGGAAGAGGAGAGCGCGGTCTTCCGAGGCCCCCCTCCCGTGCAGCCGCCGGCGCAACCGGATGGCCCGAAAAGACAGACGCAGCCTAGCATGAGCGTGGAGCAGGCTGCGAAGCCGACTTTCCAGATCTACGTCGGAGATCCGCACAAAGTGGGGGACCTGACAAGTAGTCACATCGTTTATCAAGTTTCGACAAAGGTAATGGGACTCCACGCACAGGAAACCTACAGATTGGAAAAAAGAAAAGAAGAAGCTGACATTAATCGGTATGGCTAGACAACATCTAAGGCCTATCGCCAACCCGAGTTCACCGTTAGCCGTCGATACCGTGATTTCCTCTGGCTCTACAACTCCCTGCACAGCAGCAACCCGGGAGTGGTTGTTGCGCCTCCACCAGAGAAGCAAGCAGTTGGCCGGTTCGATACCAACTTTGTAGAGTCGAGGAGAGCTGCTTTGGAACGAATGCTTAACAAGATTGCCAGTCATCCTATTCTTCAACATGATGGCGATCTGAAAATTTTCCTGGAAAGTGAAGCTTTCAACGTTGATGTTAAGAATAAGGAAAATCGAGAACCCGATATTGGCCCAAGCAAGGGAATGCTGAGCTCCTTTGGTATTTCTGTTGGTGGAGGAACCAAATTTGTGGAACATGACGATGTAAGTGAATCGTTTTTAATACATCGGCCTCGCCTGCTCACATGTAGATAGTGGTTCCACGACCGAAAAGTCTACTTGGATGCATTGGAGAACCAGCTGAAGGCTCTATTGAAATCAATGGACACCGTGGTTCTACAACGCAAAGGACTAGCCGAGGCCGCAGGCGACTTTTCGAGCTCATTGCATGCCTTATCTGCCGTCGAGCTGTCTCCCGCCCTCTCCAATCCATTGGAAGGCCTGTCAGAACTTCAATTGCGCATTCGGGAACTTTATGACCGACAGGCGCAGCAGGATGTTCTGACGCTTGGAATCACGATCGACGAATATATCCGTTTAATTGGAAGTGTCAAGATGGCTTTCACGCAGCGGCAAAAGGCTTTCCACACCTGGCATGCAGCAGAGTCCGATCTACAGAAGCGCAAGAATAACCAAGACAAGCTACTCCGCCAGGGAAAGACTCAGCAAGACCGCTTGAACCAAATCAGCGCCGACGTCGCAGATGCAGAGCGCAAAGTGCACCAGACGCGGCTGCTCTTCGAGGATATGGGCCGGCTTATGCGAAACGAGCTACAACGGTTTGAGAAGGAGAAGGTGGAGGACTTCAAGTCTGGCGTGGAAACCTTCCTTGAAAGTGCAGTCGAGGCTCAGAAAGAGGTAATTTCTTGCCAACTCTTGCGTGTCTATTTCATCCAGCTAACCCTAGCTACAGTTAATCGAACTCTGGGAAACATTCCTCCTGCGTCTAGATGCTGGCGAGGAGGGGCTCCCGTATTATGTACCTCCTGAGGCGAGCGATGCAGCTGCTCCGAAAGAGCCCACAGCGTCGGCCTCGGAGTCGGGGCCACTGGCCGCTGAAGATGAAGCTTGATATTTCTCCTGTCCTGGGTGAAAAAAAGTGCTTTTTCACAACCCCACTTCTCGCGCCGTTTTACCTCGTCCTTTGTATTCATTATGGGACATCCCTTTCGCCATGTTTGTTTATGCCATGCTGCAACTGATCACGATCCTCAGCAAGCCGATAAGTTTTGTGTTTTTCTTCTATTTCCGCTTCACTCCGAATACCACTGTTCGTGTACTGTAGCAAATAAATCCATCACCTATTTACCCTAGTCAGTTATTCTGTCTCGAATGCATACTTCCTCTACCCAATATCCAGAGATTTGAGAAATCAATGCTTTCAAGTCCCCTAGAATTCGCATAGACTTAACGAATATTTAGCATGGATGAGAGAAAAGATGAATTCTTGGTATAATACAGCAGGCTCATACCAGACATATGTATATTGTACAAGATCAAAAACACAAAGAAAAATAAACAAAAAAAAAAGCAAAAGAAGATCCCAACTCCCATCCAAGCGGCCCAAACCAGACAACCTGATTTAATCCGGGAAAATCCAAAAGCCACTATTTCTTGCCAGAGGGCTTGAAAGGCTTCTTCTCAGGCGGAGGCGGCGCCTCATTCTGCCCGAAAGCACTAATCAAATCAAGCAAGTTATCCTCCTCTTCCTGATCCTCCTTAGCCTGAGCCTTCGCATCAGCCTCAGCCTTCTTAGCAGCAGCAGGGTCCTTCGCCGTCTCCTCTTCAGCAACAGGCGCGCTGGCATCATAGCTGCGGCCGAATCTGGCACGGAAAGCCGCGAGACGACCGGCCTCGTCTTCCTCGACGTTCATCAGCTTGCTGCTGGACGGGTTCCAGAGGAGGGAGTTGCGCGTGTCGCGTGTGGAGCGGTAGATCGGGGCTGGCGAGGTCGTGCGGTGCGTGAAGGTGCTGCCGTCAGAGAGGGTGATGAGTTGTGTGAAGGTGTAGGGGCGCTTGGGGCGGCGGAGGAGAGTTGCGTGTCGGCATTGCGAGCAGATGAAGGTTGTGCTGCTCGATTGCGTGGGTAGTCTTGTAGGGAGGATGGTGGTTGTTGAATTGGTGATTGTGGCCGCGGTGCGGCGGAGGAGGTGTGCATAGACATGTTGGATTGGGTTGTTTCGTCAATTCCAATGTAAATAACGAAGGGATTGTCGAGGTGGGCGGAGGAAGACGGGGCCGCAATGCTATCGGGGAAGTTGCGGAGGTTGCGAAGTTGATGCTATAGCAGAGAAATTATCGCGGGTTATGTAAGCGGCTCTGTTCTTTTCGGGATTTTCATAACTTGCATGTTTCGCATGACTTCATATTGCTCCATATCTCTGTGAGTCTCTCTTCTTCTTTGGGGATTCAGACATGAATTGGCAGAGTCTGGATATCTGTGAGTTTGTGTCCTGCGTCATTCCCTGAGCGTCTTTCCAAGCTCTCAATTCCTGGCGGGATGAAGCTCGCCTTTCCAGTCGCGCATGGGACTGCTCGGACAGGACTCGGAGGTAGGTTGTCATGATGCATTTCCAAGTGCTCTTGCGGTACTAATGTGAGCCATTAGAACTATCATGCATTAAGAACTATACACCCCTGTTCCTGGGAACATCGCTCCCCCGAACCTCTCCGCCTGTACCATATCCCCAATACCGATCACGATGCGATCAACGACGATATACCAGCAATGCCACAGCCTCTTTAAAAGAAAATGATTGCACAGGGAAGGCCAATTCCCCACAACCGTCAACACCCTCGACATCTATATCCGACCAGGTCCGCCTCCTCATGCGTCGGCTCCCCTACCCCGTCGCAATCATAACGGCAACTGATCCCTCCGGCCCAGAAGACACAACCTCTTTCCGTGGTATGACCGTCTCTTCCTTCAACACCGTCACCCTCACCCCGGAGCCTGTGATCTCCTTCAATGTGCGTCGCCCATCAGAGACATTGAATGCGTTACTTGCCTCGCGCCGGTTTCTGGTGCATTTGCTTGCACCGGGCCCGGCAACCGCTACTCTGGCTAGGGATTTCTCTAAGGGGAATATCACCCTCGCTGCTATGTTGAGAGGACATGGGGAATTTGAGTTCGCGGCTTTGCCTACTAAGAACGAGGAGGGACATCCTCAAAGACCGCTTCCTATTCTTAGGCGGAGGCCGGAAGCAGTAGCTGCGAATGATGGTGTCGACTTCCCTTTTGTTTTTGAATGTACACTACATCCGCAGAAGATTGATGTGCAGGATCACTCAATTGTGCTGGGTACTGTTGTTCGGGCGATCGAGGGCTCTGAGTCTGTTTCGGCACAGGGACAGGATGGGAAGGTCTTGGATGAGCATTCGCCTGAGCGGCTTTGTTTGACGTATGCAAATACCAAGTTCTGGAAGATGGGGGGTGAGCTTTGAGCTTGGATACATGTAGTTGTCTTGCGTGTCTGGTTTCGTCTGAGAGTTGGATGAAGAATGCTTCATCGCTTATGCCTTCCGGCAAAGCACTGTATATATACTTGGGAAGACGGCGTTTGGGTTGTATATAGACTTTCAATTAGACATATGGTATCACAGCCAATCTCAACGACCTATCCGCTATATGATCCTACAGGAGACATGGAGAGATGAAGATGAGAAATGCTTTCATGATATTGATGCGTCTACGCTTTTTGTGAGAGAGATATACAAGAACCGAGTATAGAACACTTTTGTTTTTCGGTTTTAAGAACAGACCTGCCATGTATCTCACTCCGATCGAATCCATACAGTTGCTATCTCGTCGCGAGATGCGTGCCACGCTACCACAATGACCCAAGAAACTAGGAGCCATCACAGTGCAGGCCGACGAGAAAGAGATTGACTAGCACGAGCCGGATAATCCAACCGGACGGAACCAAAAGCACGACGCACAAAAATTGAGGCCACTTCTCGAAAGACAAGCATGGAATTGAGCTCGAGCACCGGCTCGAGAGCGCGGCTAGGCATGAGACCACGGAAGCAATCACCGAGAACTAGTCTCGAGACGAGTGCGGACTGCCCGTCCCACTGCCACTGCCACCACTGCCACTACCGGTGCCACTACCTCGACTTACTGCTCGCTGGAAAGGACTCAAAACCCGACGACCACCATGATGCAGGAACCCATTTCCGTCAGACCCAGGCCGAGGCTTGGTCTCACCAAGCAATTCCGACAGGTCAAGCTGGAGAGGTGGCAAGCGGTTCGTGTCCAAGAAGTCAGAGCCGTATTGGCTGCTGCGAGTGGAGCGGTTGGAGAACGAACGGTCTCGGTTGTTGATGTCTGACGCGAAGTATGAGCTCGCGTTGCCGATGGGAGAGGTTGGAAACTGTGGGAGGAAGGGAAGGTCTTGCGATGGGCTAGTTGGATTTGACGGCATTTCGTGGACCGGAGAAGACGAAATCTGTAGTGGACTAGACCTCGCAGGAAAGCTGAGGCCCCCCCAACAGAGATCGAGCGCTAGGTGCAGAGGTCGTAGATGCGTTGAACGACGGAGCACTGGTTTCGGGCAGAGGATTGGTGCCTGGCAAGTTGCCTTCGGGGGTGAGAGGACCAGACTCGAGGAGCATCTGCTGCTGTTGTTGCTGAATTGACTGCTCAATTGCAGATGCCTGCTGCCAGAGTTGACTCGTGCGCAGCTGGAAGTCCTGTACAGATTGGCTGATGCTCCCAAATTGCTCATGGAAATTGCTCTCCATCTTTGACTGGTCCTGCTCTCTGGCAAATTGTTCGGCAGCCCGACGTTCTCTCTCATTCAACCCTTGTGCATTGGCCGAGATAATACGCTCATACTGCTCATTCACCCGGGTGCGGCGACCCTGGAGACGCTCGCGCTTCTGGATAGCCTGAGACAATTCCAACTCCAGCGCCGCCACCTGCTGAGCTGCAGCTGTTCGAGCAGCAGCAACCTCTTCCTTAGTTGAATTGAAAAGTTCCACCTCACGTTCGAAATCCGCTTTGTGCGCTGACCATTTTTCCATCTCCTCCTCAGGGACATTTTCCATAGTGTCGAGTTGTATCTCCAGAACTGCAGTAGCCTCTTCGGTTTGCCGGATGTTTCGTTCTAGTTGAAGCGAACGCTGCTTTTGGCGATTCTCGTCATTTCCACTGTGGAGGCGAGTATTGAAGTTCTCGAGCTCTTTCCGGATTTTCGAGATAACCGCTTTGTGGTCGTTCTTCGTCTTTTTGAGACGGTTGCGCTTTTCATTCAACTTGGATTCCGCATTGCTGATGGAGTTCTTGAGCGTCGTTGTGGGGGATGATGGACGGTAGGTGGGTTGTGGGGGTGTCGATACCGCGGAAATGACTGTTCGAACAATGAGCTTGTTGAAAACGAAGTGTTGTTATTTGAAGAGAACTTACCTTGCTCTGTGTCAGTCGTTGTAGGCGTCTTGACACTCATGACACAGATTTCCTCGTCGGTATCGCTTCGTACAAATGCACATGTGTAGGCGCAGTTGGGAGCAAGTCCCGCGATCTCGCCCCGCCACTGGACAACGCTCGGCCCCTTGGCATCTGAAACCCTGCATATCGAAGCGGTAGCCCAGAGCGCACCGTTGACGCAGACGTAAAACGGTTCCATATCTCCTCCCAAACGGCCGGCTTCAAAGGAACCTGACACAGCGGGGTCATCGGTAAAATCACCCGCGGCAAATTTAATCGAAGAGCTATCCACGTCCGTAATCCATATTAACCCGTCGTCGAGAGAAACACCCTGCAGATCCTCCTCCGTCATTGTGAGATTGCGGGCTGTCTTAGAAATAGCCCGTGAATGTTCATATTCCCTCATCACCGTAACCTTTGTACTGGCAAGCGCAGCCCAAAACGGCTGCCGGCTCCGAACTTGATTGGCTTGTCGTCTGCGTTTCTTGGCTGAAGTGAAGCGATCCTTTCCATCTTTCAACTGACCATCAGGCCCCACGAAAGAAGAGGAAACACTGGCAGCAGACTCTAGAGCAGAATCGGCTTGTCCCTGTGACCCCGCAGAAGCCTCCGTATCCCCCCGCTTGCCGGTCCGTAACGGTGTCGGTGACCGATTCTTGGCCATCGCACGTCGTGCCATGGCGGTCGCCGCTTGTGCTAGGATGTGCACGGCAAGAAGGCTTCGGAGCCAGCTCGGAGACGTTTGTGCTTCGGAGCGTCGGAACTCGGCGGGTAGCAGGTGCGAATATTGGGAGAGGAGATCGGGACTGAGCACTTTAGCAGAGACAAGATGACCCAAGACGAAGTCCTGGATGCCTTTACTGCGAACAAGATGGAGAAGCAGAACAATTCCGACACAGAGAGCATTGACCCCGCCGTTCTTTCCGGAACCCCCGCCACCCAAAGTGATAGCAACTTGGACATGAGCGAGATCGATGGCAAAGTTTTGCGCCCAAGTCCACATGAAGAGGCCCCAGAGGAGTATGCAAAACCCATCCATCGCAATCATCGTCCCCAGAGATGGCGTCCCAGCCGGACCTTGGAAAATATCGAAATTCGACGACAAAGAACCGGCCGCGGCGCCACTCGGAGGCATGAAAGTCAAAGAGGCGAACAAGAACTGAACCAGGGTCAAGACCATTGGTGGAAGCTGTAGCAAAAAAATCAAGATGGCGATGGTGTCGTACATGGGGCACGATTTGAGGATAGTGGATGCGAGCTGGAGCGGATTAATCGAAGCATTGGATCCGGATCGTTTCGAGTTTCCACTGCGAGAGACATGACCTGCTATGCCACCATTCTGGGCGACATCGCCGTTTTCCTGCGCAGATGCCATTTCTCCACCCTTGCTATGTCCATTCAACATCCCACGCACATTGCCATCTGCCTTCGTACTATCCCCTCCTTTGCCGGAAACTGTCGGAGATGTTACGGCCGTGTCGCTAGTAGACCGTACGGAAGATAAATCGAAGTGAGTGGACGCGCCCGGACCGGTAGCAGAGCCGTTGCCCGAGTTGCCATTCAGATGGCCGCTTGACTTTTGCTTGGTTACTTTCTTGCCGGGACCGACAAGGCCATTCTCCTGCCGATTGCTCTGGTTCTTCCTAGATGCAGCGGAGCGTGTCATGGAAGAGGGAGCCCGAAACCCAGGTCCGAGTCAGCTTGGCGGGATGAAGCCAAGGACTGGGACCAGGAAAAGGCGAAAACGGACTAAAATTGAATATGGTGGGGAAGGAAATGGTGCAGATTGGCTTGTATAGTAATGAAGATGGGAAAGAAAAAGGAAGTAGATGTATAAGGAAAAAGGAGAGAAAGAGAGAAAGACAAGAGACGACGCTGTACGTGGAAGCGTGAAGGGGAAAAAGTGCCCAGGTGGAATTGTATGAAGTTCGAAAGAAACAGAATTGGTATTGGTACTGTCATTTGGTGTCGATCTCTGGTGCCTTTCGGGTAGGCGGTACCTGGCTTCAATACCGTTCGCCACTATTTCATTTTGGTACTGTGTACTTGGACGGCAGATTGCAAACTGAGAGAGAGAGAGCTCCTGGTAATATATTCTGGCTTCTTTGTAGATCTGGAGTTTCTGCATGAAAAGTCCCGTTTAGCACAATCCACTGCCAAGCTTTCGTTCTCTTCTAAACATCTATCTTACGATACTCTAGGGCTTATTGACAGGTCACGCCTAAGAGCTACAACGGCTGCAATTGCCAAGTCCTGCAACGCGGATACCTACACATCGGCCAATCCTAAGCATGTCTTCGTTTTATCCAGACAATTTTACGGATACCCAGTGGTTCCCGTTGCCTCGGCGCTATGCGGACTTTCTTCAAAACGGGCTTGACTAGTGCTGATAAGCTCGTGAGCACGGAGTATGGAGTACAACCTACGATGTACAGATCAATTTGGAAGCCTGTTGAGATCACCAGTCCCTATTTGCTGTCAAACTGCCTAATTGGATTGACGATCGACCGTTTCTTGACCCGTCTGCTGCGGGGTCATCCTTGCGCCGGACTTCTGGTATGTGTTACGAATCCTTAGATCATGGTATGGTTATTACTCGTTGGGGGACTCGCATGCAGATAGATGCGCCTGCAGGAATGAACACGCAATCCGAACATGGAGAGCATCATAAGGAATAAGTATGGGGAACTAAAGCTTGTGCGTATCAACGTGTGTATCAACACTGTTAGCCACATTCTTGCTGGGATCATCACATGCTCGGCTATCTCGTGCATCTTTCTGAAGCGCTCCGCACAGATTTTGGAGAACGAGTATGTCCACATCTTCAAGAAGGTAATGTCTGATGATATATCGAGATTGATGCAAAATAAATTTCTATTTACACTATTAAGAGGATATCCTCGAACAGAAGATAAATGCAATTTACTCCTTCCAGCCAATTCCGATCCTCCCCCTCCTAATACGATACCCGGGGCTTGGCAGCCCTGGAGGGTTCTGTAGATCAGCCACAAACTTAGTAACGATCGGCCCGACGGCCGGCTTGGTGATGGCTTAAGTTATTTTTATGCATGCGGTGAGCCCTACCATTGTAGTATCTATACATATTGTATACCCCTCGATCACATGGGCACTTCTTTGGCTCGTTACACTTCCAGTTTTCCAATTTTCCAGTCCAAATTTCAGAAAATAGGGTACACAATTCTGAAAATTGCGAACCCTTCCACTAGCGTATCCACCCTAGTCTCCTTTAGAACCGGATTTTGCTTGGGTCCGATAAACTTCGGGTTTTCATGGTCGATCCTTTCGCTTTTCCTACTGGTTCCGGCTTTCATGTCCTGGTCCGGCAGGGTCTCCGGGTGTACGGAGTAATAATGGATATAAAACCTTGGCTAATCTTATGAAGGTTTCTCGGTCTCTATAAAGAGCTAAATGCACTCCCTCCTACGAATATCCGCTCGGGGCCTTACATAGTCCAATCAATTGAACAATCTAGTCTTTTGTGGTTCATCAGGGCAAATCATTCTGGACTTCACTTTGCCATATGTACTAGTTAGGGCGTATACCAATCGAACTATAAGGACTACTAAAAGGACTACTGTAAAAGACAAGAATGCCCTAAGCCATCAGGAACCTAAGGGCAAATTTTATACTTCACGGGTACGCATATGGATACTGTTAATATAGCATATCTCAAAAATGGAATTTATATATCAAAAAGATATGGCCCATATACTCAAATTCCGCGTAAGGTGTCTGAAACGGGATATCTGCATTGCATATCTCTTTTCCATCCAGTAATGACTGTAGAAATGTTAGAGAAAGAAAGACACCATATGCACATAAATCCTCAAGGAAACCAACAAGGATAGATATGATCCTTCACAATAAATGCCCAGGGTGAAACACTACCTACCTAGGTATACTTCGACGAGAAAATTGACCCGAAACTCACATTCCATCCCCCGCATAATGTTAACTTTAAATTGAACCAAGATTTCTTCCAAGGTTTGGCTGATCTTCCAAGGTTAGCCGGCATGGTTATCAAATTATTACTACACCTGAAACCGTACACCTAGTTAGATGTAGGTACGCGTAGACCAGTCGTCAGCAGTCTCCAATACGACTGGACTCAATATAAACCCCAATATATGTCAGCGACTCTGCCGAGCACGATATCGCCAGCTGCTCCGATCAAAAGTACCTCATCTTCTTCCCTACAAGATGATCTTCACTAGTAGAAAGATATAGCATATCAGCGCCCGGACTACGTCCAGGATAGACCTTTTCGACATGTCCAAGCAATGGTAGCGCCCAGATTCCACAGGTGTGATTGCCACAGGAAGCAGCGCAATAGTTGATCCCATTGTTGTATATAAGTGAAGAAAACATACGACCGAGAACAGATGTGCGATTATATCATTGTGATACATGTAGAACAGTGGTGCCGTCTCGTAAGCAGCGACTTTCAAAAACAGGGTTCTATAAAGAAAATTTCCTGGGGAAAAGAAAGTGACATGAAGTTCCGATATAAAATTAAGAGTGACGGTTAAATTTTAAAATTAGTGCAATTCGCTCTCCTAAGGCGTCAGCCCAGGCACCACCTCAGCAGGTAGGGGCAGCACCACATTAGTCATCTTTTGTCCCGCGGGCCCGCGGGCACATGTCCACCTTGGAAGGTTACAATAGGACAATTCTTACAACCTAAATCACAGTTACTCTCAGTTCAATTCCCATTTCAAAGAGTCGAAGGACTAGTACCTAGAATGTCACAGCGCAAGTCCACGTTCCTCTCACGAGAGGTCTTGGTATGTGTTCCTAGCTTGTGTATACTCTCAGCTACTTATGGCCATTCAATTTAGACTTCACAAGAAGCCAAATGGAAAAGACTAGTCAAGACAAACTATATCGATCCTAACGGAGTCAAGAGAGACTGGGAGTCTGCTGAGCGCCAGGTACGAATTTTGAGTTTACATATATATCGAACTGTAACGACCTAACCAAATCGTAGACAAGACCAACAGACTCCCCAGTGGATGGAGTCAACATTGTCGCTTTTCTGAATAAGACGAACGGATCCGAGATCCTTTTGGAAAAACAATACCGGCCTCCAATTGACAGAGTCGTCATAGAACTCCCTGCAGGATTGATCGACGCAGGGGAGACAATCGAGCAGACTGCAGTTCGAGAGCTGAAAGAAGAGACTGGGTACATCGGCGTCGCGGATAAAACTACTGGTATCATGTACAATGGTTGGTGAGCCCATTGTTCATCTTACTGCTGAATACTAGCTGACTTGAGATATCTATTCAGATCCCGGCTTCTGCAATGCCAATTTCAATATGGTTTACGTTCAGGTCGACATGTCTCTTCCGGAAAATCAGAATCCAAAGCCTTGTCTCGAGGATAATGAGTTTATCGAGTGTTTCACGCTTCCGGTGTCGGAGCTGTCGGCTGAGTTGCAAAGGCTGGAGAGTGAAGGGTATGCGATTGACGCCCGGGTGGGATCCATTGCAGAGGGAATTGAGATTGCAAAGAGGTTGAAGATTTGAATTGTTTGGCCAGTGGAGTTGAAAGGTGGTTTACTGTTTTTTATTTATAGAGACGTGTCCCTCATGTTATATATGGAATAGACTGCGTCGTGGGCTAATGATTCCTTGGCGATATGAAGAACATTAATGATAAACGCACCCAGCTGGTGAGTGCAGCCCACTAGAATAACAGGTAATTCAGTGTTGGAGACCCGGGGAACAACCAAGACAGCAGTTGAATCATGCATTAGGGCTTATATCACGGGTCAGGCCCAGGTAACTACTAGTACATACACAATGTCACCTTCAAGCCCGCCGGTGCCATCCTGCACTACTTACAACTGAGTTTAGGTCCCAAGCCAATTTGGCCTATACTAATTTCAAAATGAGATGTCGGTTCATTGCTGCTGCTACTATAACAATATGATCATGCTCCCCTCCTCGCCAGAGATGCCGTAAGTCCGGCGTGCTTGAGACTGTAATGCGTATGTACAAAGCGCAGAAGACTGCAGCTGTCAATCCAGTGCCCAAAGAATGACAAGGAAACAGCCCCATATGATCAGTTCTTCAATATTTCTACCCCACTGCAATCACTGTCACGCAGACCCGTTGTCCTCCACAGCATCAGCCCGATCCCAGCTTTTAAGCTCAAGATCCCGTACACGATTCTCTATCTCAGCAATCCGGTGTCTCCATTTCTCCTTTTCCTGCTCCTGTTGCTTCCACATAGCCTCAAACTGCTCCATTACAAAGGGCGGGATGTTGACAGTCTTGCGGTTCTTCTTGTAATCATAGATCACGATATCCTCGAAGCAACGCGCAGCAGGGCGTTGGTGGGCTTCAGACAAGATCATAACTTCGAGTCGGAATGCCGATTGGGACGAAAGATGCCCAGATGGGTCTGGGATCAGTCTTTGATAAACAGTAATTTTGTCTGGAGATTCCATGGGCTGCATGATAGTAAGTAAGTAGGTCCACTCAGTTGCTGTCCTATTGGCGTGGGTGGGACTTGGGTCTCAGGGATACAGTACAAATTTGTAGTCCACCTTGATACTCTTTAGGATGAGCCCGATTCCCGTACTACCAAGCATGTTTATCCATTCTTTCTTATTTGCAGTATCGATATAGTTACCGATATTGCGCGTCCAGTTCACTCGAGCTGTTTCGGCGTATCGAACATAGGTAACGTTGTTGACGTGACCTTGCTCTAGTTAGTACGGCATGGTCTATGAAATGGGAATGGTAAATTTTAAAGAAAAAGACGAAGCATACCCTATTATCCCGGTTAGCCTTGGTCCAGAAATCCAAGAGAGCTCATGCAGTAAGCGCAAAAGCTAGGGGGGATGAATGTTCTCACCATAATGTCCTAATCCATAACAAGCAGACTTAGCATTAATCACTCTCGCTCATAGCACAGACACAGTATTATAGCCCAGACTCATACCTGTTCTCCCCAGACCACATTATGGCGAAACAGACTGCGCCGTTTCTTATCCGTGAGAAATCCCTCGCTCCCAGCGACCAGTTCCCGCCATTCCTTGGCCAATTGCTGTAGAATCTTCCCCCCTCGTCAATCTGAGCTGGCTTCATCCCAAACATCATGCACTTCCCAACCCTTCGCTTGGCCATTGTGAGCCATCGTGGATTGATCGGGGTTGAGGCCGAATCGGGGAGTTTTTGGCTGAAGGTTGTCGGGGAAGTCGCAGAGAAGAGGCGACGTGTGCCATTGGAGTACAGAGGTATTGAGGCAGATAGATGCGCTCGGAGAGCCGACTTAGAGAGCATGTTGCGTTGTTGTGGAGAGATAGTTCCAATGTTGGATTCAGCACTTCGACCGCCGATAACCGATAACGTGAAGCTTGGGCCAGTACCCCGAGGTCGGCGAGAACCCCGCGTGAATATAGGGGGTCTGAAACTGATCCTGTATCGATATTATTTTATACATATTTGTAGTTTCGAAGTGAGTTTACATTTGAGAAACAAGACATGCAAATTTACCCCAAAAGTACATATGTAGGTAGTATATCGTGTATAGAAAATCTAGCCAACCTTGGAACTCCGCTAGTCACGTCACCGATAACTCCCGAAGCCTGGAAGCTTCTCAGCCGCTTACCTTCATTGCACCGCATCTCCACCACCAACTCTCAACAAGAACAATCTTTAATCTTGGATGGAGCAACAATGGTAAACCCCGAGCTGCGCCGCCAGGTCATCAACGTCTACAAAGGTAGGAAGCTGCATACGTCGCGCAGCAACTTGCATTCCTTTGCTTTGGTCTTAAGCCAGTTGTCTGTTACATGCTAATATCCCGAGATGTAGAGCTTCTGTTCTTAGGACGGGAATATCCTCTGGGTTACCAGTATTTCCGGGATCGACTACACCGTGCTTTTGCAAGCCAGAAACAGATCACCGACGATGAACAGATCCGCAAGGGAATAGCGAGGGCTGAGTTTGTGAAGAAAGGTAAGTTCTGTCTGTATTGCTGGGACGCCTATCCCTCGGGTGCATTTGTGGATATGTTGCTAATTGCTTAATGCAGAAGTGGAAGCGCTGTAAGACTGGTCCCTCCATCCCTCCCTTTCCTCCCTACCTTCTATATCGCGTTGTCGCATCCAACCACTTCCTATATTGCTGGATTACAAGCACTTGGAAGCACAGTGGAATCCTTCGTACATGTCATTCTTCTATACATTGCACCCATAATGGGGTAGTGTCTGGCTAGATACACTGGGCATAGATTGACTCCTCATTATCATGGCATCATGCAAGAACTATTTTGACCTCCATCACAAGAATTTTCTGTTGATGGCGACTAACAAAGTGAAAAAAAAACCAGGTACTATTTGAAGCGGTACCGAACACTGAAAAAGCGATATGGAAGTGAGGCCTGATATTCCCGCGGCTCTCACTTCTTCTCCAGAAATGTCCAGATCATATGCATGTTAGAAACCCAGAAAGACAGAAATAAAATTGGGGTATCACCAATACAAAGTGCAGAACGGTCACTACTTGACTTTTGCCCACCGGAACTCCAAATTGACTCAAGGGGTTCATTTTTTTTGACCCCACCAGGCGCTTACTTCAAGGCACTCGCCGCTGGAAAGTCCGCCTTTCTGCAAGAGGTCGGCTGTCATTGCAGCCCACCATCGGTCCCATTCGTCACGACCCTTTCCGCTAGACTCCATCAGTATCGGCTCCAGCCCTTCAATCATCTGTATTGTGGTGAGGAGAGCTGTGCGCCGGATGGCGATCTGTTCTGGAGTCAGGGCCTTTCGTGGACGGCCGTTGGAATCCTTGATTTGGCCGTCTCGCTCCCAGCGCAAGTCACCCAATGGAATTGCGACGCGGCGACTGTCGACATTTTCCAACAAGTCCACTTCGGAGTTGAAGGATAAACCGATCGTCGCGCACGGGAGCGCTGTCAACTTGAGACGGTCGAAGGACTTCTCCAACCAGGAGTTATAATCGACCATGAACTTGTTCTGCGCTCGTGTGAATGGTGTGGCGGAAGAAAATGTATAAGTAGCCGTTGCATCGGCGATCTCCTGTTCTTTCGAGCTCGTTTTGCGGGCCGGAGCCGGATTAGGCAGGAGCGAGCGGAAGCTCCAATCTGAATCCCACACCTCCAGGATACCCCCGGACTTCAGCACGCGCAGGGGCTCGCTCAGGCCCGATGCAGATTGCGCCGGACTAGAAGGACACATGCCGGCATCTTTAATGAACACGAAATCAAAATAGTTGTCCGGAAAGGGCAAGCGGGGTCGGCGTAGGTCATGACGTTTGAATTGCCAGTTCATTCCCTGCTTGCGCAGATCCGGCGCAATGGATATAACATCTATCCCGGCAAAGGCCACATCGGGATGGCCTCTGCGGGCGAAGTAGTCGTGGCACAGACCAGACCACAGAGCGGACCCGCATGCGATCTCCAGGACGCGTTTGGGCGGCCGATTGGCTAAGTGGGGGTTGCAAAATGGGCCGCCGAGCACGCGCAGCAACATAAACGTGCGCAGGCTTTGGCGGTGGATCTCGGGCAGGTCGCAGGGCAATGGGTAGACATTCTCCGGGTCGCGAAAGTAGGTGCGGTCACCTTGGCGCATCAGAGGGTATGTTGAGTAGTCCGTGAGTGAACTCAGGGACGAGGAGGAGGCGGCCAGTGTCGAGCTAAGGTTGGAGTGTAGGTCGGACCCGGAGGCGGTTGCGACTGAGAACCCCAGTGCCATTATGTCCATATCACTTTCCTCTCAAGTATATCGATTGGTGTCCCCTATGACTCTGAAGATGGGTTGTGGGTTCGGTCGCATTCTCGGCGCAAGATTGAAGTTTTCATGAACGAGGCATGCTTTTTTTTTCTTTTGCAGGCTTTTTTTTTTTGAGTGGAAGATAATTCCGAGGGAAATAGGAATTAAAATAGAAAAATCGAAAAAAATAGAGTCGAACAGGAAAAGTGACGGGGACCAAAGCGGGCTCGGAAATTATCCCTAGTGCAGCCGGGGCGCAGAGCTGAAGAAATTTCTTGTTCAACGTTAAGAAAAAGGACTTAAATTGTAGATAGTCCTGTAGTTTTGCATATATGCAACAAGGTATAACCCTTGGAAGTAAATTATTCGAAGTTCGAGAAGAAATGGGGGAGAAGGAGAGAAGAAGAAAAGCCCTGACCCCTGGAAGTTGAATATCCACTCGAGTCTAGTTTAGTCTCTTCACGGTAACAGTACTTTACTCCGTAGTAAAACATCCGTTGTATTGGAGCCAATAATATGTATTCTGTTTCACCTGTGTGCAAAGTATTCCTGGTTTTATATAGCATTGACATCATGACTCTTATATCAGTGCCCATGGCTCAATCGCCGAGAAGGGAAATTCTGGCCAAATGCGGTAGAAACAAAAGAAGTTATGGTATGTTGCATAGTTCATTATTGCTTTTTGACATTTTATGGGGAATATTGAAACACAGTTTTCAGGGGTCCTCTACAAAGTAAAACCATATAAAAAATGTCCTCGTAATAGCTTAAGCCAATACTTGGATAAGATACATCCAAAAGCATAGCAAATTGTATAGAGCACAAAGTACTAGTAGTAGGCATGCATGCATTATCCAATTTCAACGGTGAAAACTGGATACACAACCGTCGGAGATCCCTACCCGCAATATCCATCAAGTACCGAGTGTTTTAATAATTCGGTCCACAGTCTGGACCGACATTCTGAGACCTAGCTCGCCATTGTCTCTCTATCTGATACTTAGTACTTACCTACCCCGTGCGACAACGCTAAATTCCCAGGCATTTGGGGTATCGGCGATTCCAATCTTAGTCTGCACTGTGATCCGTGCCCTTTCCGCTCGGTAGTATTCAACGTACCTGCAGAAATGATTCGAGAATTCGATCGACACAATAGTGTCTGCCACGTACTTTGGTTAAGACTAGTTTGATTTTTTAAGACACGGAGATAGACGGAGTTGAAGAGGCGAATATGATCAGTAAGAATATGAAGGTAACTGTGTATTCCAACATATGTTGTAGAAGAATTGCATATTAAGCCGTTAGACCCCTTTTTGTGAATATGCGAGTATACTAGGTCTGTGCTACCTTGCAGATACATATCATCTGAATGATACGGAGTGCATATGTCGTATCTCTATACTCCGTATTCGCTTCAACATAGGGCTTTAGTATGTAGTCTGTCTAGACAGCATTTCACGATTGAAATTATGTTAAACCTATATCTAAGAATCATTTAATAGGGGTCTTTCTACTTAGTATACCTAGGTACCAGATAATATTGTTAGGATGGTGTTTTTAGGTAATTCACTAATGACTATGAATACATATGTATAATTTACCTCTGTCCTTCGTCATACGATTCCAAGCTTAGAGAATTCAATTAGCCCCGTCAGTGGCTTTTCTGTCTCGCCCGAGCAGTTCGCGCCAAGGAGAAGTCTGACCTGAACTACTTTGACACAAAGATTCTATGATTCCCTACACATAAGACAAAATCAAAATACCAGACTCAGTTTTGAAAGTATTGGATATTATTAGCGCTTAGAATAGATCAGACCATTGTGCATTCTTTCAACCTTCTAGTCCAGGTCTCTTCCTCTCTTTGCTGGACCCCTTAGCTACATGTTTATCTCTCTATTCTAGACCCAGATTTCTTTCATTGTACGTACCCCTAGTGTTGGCTAGCTTCAAACAAGTGTCTAGGCAGAATCAAAATCCGATGCAGGTTCGACTTGCCAAAGACAGTTGCATTGCCCATAGTTTTGGCAAGCAAAGTCGACCACGTGGCTGGTTTTCATATAAACAGCCCGATCCATTGCAAAAAGTGACATAGATCTGTGAGATAGATGAAGGATAGATGATCTATTTCAAAGATTTCCCTCAAAAAGCCCCCAAATTATTGAGAGACATCGACTGTGTCTTGGCAATTCAAGCTCATCAAATCTGGGAAAGACTTTGGCCCTTGCGGCGATTCACGTGATCCCGTGACTCCCGCCTCGCCTGCAAACCACCAGTGTCATCTCAGGACGTCCTCATCGACCTGAAGACAATCGTCTGGTTTGCTCATCTTTGCTACGTCAAGCTTGCCCCACCGATTTTTCTTCGACTCCCCATCACTCGATCTCTTTTTGCTTTTACGACCACGCCTTCTTTTGACCCTTCCGCCCAATCTCCGCCCTTAGGTACCGCAACCATTGCACACCTAAAGATACTCCCAGTGCCAAAGTCACCGGCGACCTTCAATCGTGGTTTGATACAGGTGGTTTTGCCTTAGGCCCCTATGTGGAAGAAGAAGAGACCGTCTCCGATCCTCTCCTCTCCTCTCCTCGACCCAGCTCGACTTAGCGCCGCCCACCAACCAACAGGTTTTCCACCAGGGAAACAAAACACGGTCTCGTCTGCCACGTTAAATGGCAGATGGTACCTACAGGTTCCAGCAGCCTGGGGCCGGGCAGTTCTACTTCCAAGCTCAAGCACAGCAGAACCCTCACCAGCGACACATCGTTCGAAACGGGACCAATTCTCCGACGGGTCGACTGAAATTCAACCCCGACACCCCCTCCCCCTCTCGATCTCCTGCCCTAAACCAGGCTGCTGCTCTCAGTTCCTTCAACAACATGTACGGCCAAACCCACCAAGGTCAGCATGTCATGATGAATGGCGGTCAAGCCCACCAGCGGTTTGGCATGCCGATCCCAAAGTTCCAGTCGCAAACCCACCACTCTCATCACACACAGCAGCCGCATCATCATGCCCACCACGCACAAGCCACCCACAACCTCACTCATCAACACAATTTCCCCGGCGGCGCACTAGCCACTACGACAACTTCTCACTTCAACTCGACTCATCTGCAGAACGGAGTACCGACCGCGGAGGATGATCTTGACGAATCAATGAACGAGCATTGGCAGCAGCAGCTCCAGCTTGCGGCGGAGTCGAGACAAGCCACTTCCCCCACTACCATGCCCGCGTCATTGCACAACAAACGAAAGGAATCCAGCTCATGTCCAGCAACATTGACACAGAGAATGGGACGGATGGGCGAAATGGTGCATCTGCGGGGAAGCCAGCTAGCCGACAGGGTTGGAATGCGCTTGATTTCGGTGGCCAAGGATTGCGCGCTTTGACTACTTCGTTGTTCAACTATGGCTTCATTGAGAAGCTGTACCTCAACTCTAACAAGTTGAAGGTGCTACCCCCGGCTATTGGACAACTGCGGAAGTTGAACCATCTGGATCTGTCAGGCAACGAACTCACGGAGCTACCAGAAGAACTTGGCATGCTTTCAAACCTGAAGAAACTCCTTCTATTCGATAACAATATTCGCACCCTCCCTTACGAAATGGGCTACCTTTACCGGTTGGAAACCTTGGGTATCGAGGGCAATCCCTTGAACGATGTCCTCAAATCTCAGATCATGAAGGACGGAACCAAGGCTCTCATCAAGTACCTGAAAGAAGAGATGCCAGGTGTGTTTCAAATGCTAATCCCGCTCTCAAGCATATTTGCCCGGGATTTTTTGCTAACTTCATCATTACAGTTCACCTACCTCCTCCTGACCGTGACTGGGTCATTCTCGATGATACCTCCACCTCGTCCAACAGTAATACGGAAAAGATCACCGTACTGTCGTACAACACCCTGTGCGACTCTTCTGCAACCCAATCGCATTATGGCTATGTGCCCTCACGTGTTCTGTCCTGGGAATACCGTCGCGAGCTTATTCTTAACGAATTACGATCCCATAACGCAGATATTGTCTGCCTTCAGGAGGTTGATCAGGGAAGTTACAACAATTTCTTCCGGGAACAGCTTGCCTACAATGACTACAAAGGTGTCTACTGGCCGCGTGGTCGCGCGATGGGCATGCAGGAGGAAGATGCCCGAATGGTCGATGGATGTGCTACCTTCTTCAAGGGAAGCAAGTACATCCTGTTGGACAAGCAGTTGATCAACTTTGGTCAGACAGCCGTCCGTCGACCTGACGCCAAGGGCCAAGATGATATCTACAACCGACTGTGGCAGAAGGATCACATCGCCGTTGTGGTCTTCCTGGAAAACCGGCAAACCGGTGCTCGCTTCATCAGTGTAAATGCTCATCTGTATTGGGATCCTGCCTTCAAGGACGTCAAGCTCATTCAGACTGCGATTCTGATGGAGGAGATTACCAAACTCTCGGATAACTACGCGAAGTGGCCTGCCTGCACAGACAAAACCGCATTCCGCTTCTCAGAGGCCGAAAGTGGCTCAGAGACTACGCCCGTTGTGGAACCGGCCCCCTCGATGGAGTACACCAGTGGCGATCAGATCCCTGTTCTCATGTGTGGTGATTTCAACTCCTCACCGGGTTCTGCGGCTTACAACTTGATCTCCACTGGACGACTTCCCGAAGACCATCCCGACCTGGAGAAGCGACTTTACGGAAACCTCAGCAAGGTTGGTATGACGCATCCCTTCAAGTTGAAGTCCGCGTACTCCTCCATGGGAGAACTGAGCTTCACCAACTACACTTCCGACTTTACGGCCATTCTTGATTATGTTTGGTACTCTTCCAATACTCTCCATGTGTCGGCGTTGCTCGGCGAAGTGGACAAGGAATATCTGCGCCGCGTGCCCGGGTTCCCGAATTTCCACTTCCCAAGTGATCATGTCGCGTTGCTTGCGGAGTTTACGGTCAAGGGTAAGAAGGGCAAGGTTGTAGAGGCAGACTTTGGGCCACAACGGCACTAACGACGTGGAGCATTTGAAATCTTCGGAGATGGGGTGTTTTTCCAACCGGTTTCTTTTCTGCTTGTGATTTCGGAATCTTTTTGGGTGGTGGCTCTCTAGCCAGCCGTCTTATGGTGTTTTTTTCACGTATCTCTTTTTTTTTTTCTGTCCTGTGTTTTTTTCTCCTGCTTATGAACGTCCTTCCATTTCCTCTCGCTTATCCTCTGTATCCTCTTGAGTTGCTAGCGGAGTAGAGGTTTGTTCCTCGAACAATGGTCTTGCCTTGTGTCTGTTGAATGTAGTGAAACAGCCTGGCAGAGTCTCCATTTACTCCCCTGGTGTTCTCTCTCCCCTCCACACCCCCTTTGTCTCTCAACCCCACTACATCTGTGTCTTCCGTTTAAGTTTCCTGATTTATCTCGGTTTCATTTCACCTAATCTCTAACCTCATCTGAGACGGCTTCACGACGCTTAGGATCGGGGATTGGTGTTCGGGCGGAACAGGTGGTGAAGGGTATCTGCTTTTTGCCCGTGACGAGGTTGCTTTGCGTTTTCTTTTTTTCAGGCGAACGGAGTTTTGTCTGTTCCATGTACGTGTTTATTGTGCCGTTCGTCCTATGCGAGGCTCAATCAAGAATAGAGCATGGCTTTGTTCAATTTCAGTCTTCGGTGTTCTTTTGTAGAACCCATCAGCAGCGTTGCTGGTAAACGTGGACAAGGATGCCCTTCCCATGGAGACTTGGGACGTGCTTGTCCATCGTGATATTGTAATACATGTATGATTTCTGCTATGGTCCTCGTGATGTATTGCACTGACAGTCCAGCTTGCCGTTGGTATACAGGTAAGAATTGCTTGGAAGTCACATGACGTTTGGGCAGGATGGCCCTTGAATTTAGATTTCTGAACTCAGTTGATTACTTGTTTTACTTGTTACTCATATCTATTTTTGAGGTACTTCCTGCAGTTCTCAAGATACCCTTGCATGATATCATGGCGGATGTTATGCACGGTCTGCTAGCCGGTCCAAGAACGGAGTTGATTAGCCAACATGGACGCCTCCAGTTGACACCGTCAATGATCCCTGATGCGTCCAATTTCGACGCTAAAGACTCTTCATTCTTTAATAAATGGAGCGAGTTACCTTCCCCAAAACAAGTTCGGGAAAAGGCCAAATCACAGTGGCTCTCAGGAACCAGTCTGGACAAGCGCAAGACCCTCACATACGGCGGGTGTCATATGAGACCGCCACCTGCGGTGTTTGAAGACATGGGCCTGGTTGTCAAATGGGGAGTTCAGGTGGGAATAGCAGAGGCCCAGTCTGCCTATGCTGTGCACCGTTCCCTGAAAGGCCGTGTACCAGTTCCTGAAGTATACGGATGGCGCACAGAAGGGGATGAGAAGTTTATTTACATGCAATATATGCATGGATGGACTTTAGAGGCAGCTTGGGATTCGCTGGAACACAATGAACGCGATACAATCTGTCATCAGCTCCGGACAGTTGTCGATGATCTCCGCCAGCTTGAACAAGATCCTTCAGACACATTTATAGGTTTGTACCGACCTACTACCTCTCCAGATGTTATTTTTAAGGTATTTCCATTATATCTAACTCTTTCCTAGGCAATGTTGTGCGATCTCCTCTTTACGACAGAGTACTCCCTTTTAACTGCCTACAGGAGGCCGGACCTTTTGCTTCAGTCCACGATTTTCATGAGTGGTTCACATTTCTTCCCCGCAGACCAATGCCCGATCCGCATTCTGTTCCAATTGAACCATTTCGCCATGAGCTGTCTGATGATAGCTCTATTAAGTTCACCCACGGCGACCTCCATCGCATCAATATTATTATAACACCTTCTAAACCATACTGTCTCCTGGCTGTCGTCGACTGGGAACAATCTGGCTGGCTACCTGAGTACTGGGAGGCCCGCAAAGCGCAGTACACTGCTTTTCATAGGGAGGAATGGTCGATGAAATATTTACCAATGTTTCTAGATCAATACACGAATACTGCGGATCCATGGGATTGGTATACACCGGCTATGGGGTGTTAAACTAGCAGGGAGTGGCTGGATAGCTATAGCTAGTGAGGCGCGAGCTAATGCACAGTCAGTCACAGAAACGGGCCAGGCACCAGTCAGCCCCTGCTCGTGCTCGGTCCTATTGCAGGCATCTCTAATAACCTGTTGGTTGTGATCTAAAGTCTGAGCTACCCTAGTCCTTGGAAAGCAGGAGTACGTTGTGTCGGGCGTCTCCTCTTGAACCGTAGTGGTGCGCTCTCTGCTCAGCCTCACAAGGAACTTTTGGGCGCGTATTACGTTGAGATTCGTCACCTGGGAAGTATCCAGCAAGATGAGCTATATAAATTCCTTGATTACCAACTCTCTGTCCTCATCTTGATCATCACAATCAGACAAACTATCTCTGTTGCGTATAGATCGACTACCACTTCTTCGTTCCCTTGTTTGTATCCAAATGCCTCGCACTATCTACCTCGCCATTCTTTCCAGGGGTACGCAACCTGCCCATTATGCTGTTTACATCCCGACGGGCGACACAGGGGACGTTGGAAAACTCATCCATGTTACTGGGAATCCGGCCCAGGGGTTCTTCCTCGAGTTCAGGCGCAATTATGACTTCGAGGCCCCCCAACCAAGCTTCAAACGGATTCCACTCGCGCGAGTGGACGATCGGTATATAAAGGATACCGTCGGCAACAAAGAGATAGGAGATACTATTGCCCGTGATCGATTCGAGTCAGTCGCCACCACGGTACAGCCTCCTAGTCGCAGTCCCAATCCTTTTGACCCATCGGTATGTACTCCTGGGTATTATTGGTATAGCAGCCGATTTTGACTGGAATCAAACAGGCGCCGAATTGCCAAAATTGGTTGCTGGACTATACTGAGAAGCTTGTCGCAGAAGGTTACGTTCCAAACAGCGCTGTCTCAATTGTCCAGAATGCCCCTAAGGTGCTGTAGTCGAGATAATTGCAGGTAACCTCGTTTCCCTTACCGGTTGACGGTATCGTTGTGACATCTATGCTTATGTATATGAGAGTGATTGGACAAGTGGTTTTAGAAATACAACTCTGTGGCTGGTCCTGTAGTTGTTTACTTTTTACAATGCTCTGTGATATTTGACGTCTTTATGACCGATGTAAATCCAGAGGACATGGTAAAAGGTTTTGTTGGAGTAGAGATTTATATAGTGGGAATAGCTTTCCGAGGTAATCTTATTTCCTATATTAAAGGGTATGACCACACTCCTATAGTTATCAAGTCTTTTTTTAGTGTCTGTTTTGGTATCTGCCTTGGTGCCTTCTTTGGTGCCTTCTTTGGTTTTGCGGGTTGCTGAACCTTACGCAGATAGAACTTAACAGAAAATATACTATAGACGACATGTTTTTACGTGCTAAGTCAGGGTCTTGGCCAAGCCGGGCTTCATCAATTACACTGGTGATTCATGGAATTGCAATACAATAGAGATTCAGAAAATGAAGAAACAATGTGCTGAGATTACTATGACGAGGAGGAGAAGAGAGTAACTAATTTGGCTATCTGCCTTAGGTTCTGTCCCTATGGGCGGCCTAGCAGACAATACATTCAATATCCCCTTTATAAGATCTAACTCTATACCATGTCTGCTTCACTCTGTGATATGACGAAAGAGACGGAAAGAGGAGAGTGATTCTATTATATTATACATATCATACCTATAATACAGTCGGCTTGGAATGATCTACAGCCATGCCAACTACGAGGCTTGATAATGGCACAAGTATATCTTAGCCCCCTCATAACATCCAATGTATAGTCCACCTCCCACAACCGCTGTCACGCAGGTCAAAGTAGATCCCCAAAACAACCCAGCCACCCCCTCCTTCTGCAGCACATCTCGAGCAATAGCAAATGCACCGATACGGGATGATAAAGCAAGGACACCTTTGGGATTCGACCGGGTGCTGCCTGTTTGCTCACCAACCGCAAGCCTCATCCTTGTCTTGACCACATGAATAGGAACAAAGAACCAAGACGCACAACCCCCCGCAGCACCAGCACCCAAAACAGTCGCTTCAAGCTGCTGCCTAATATCATCTTTCTCTGTCTTCCACCGCTCAAGCAAATTCTCCTTAAACATCTCATATAAACAAAACGTAAGACACATACTCGGTAATTGACTCGCCACTAATGCAGTATACCCAGCCCACAGCCCAGAAGGGTTTTCTCTGAACTGACGCAGCATCTCCATCGTCGGAGACGGACCTCTTTGGGCATTAAGTGGCCGCTGAAAAACCTGGGCATTCTGCTTCAACACCTCAGCCGGGTTCTGGATAGCGCAAGCAAGCAGTTCAGCAACCGCACTGCTGGCAACGTGAATCAGCGACCGTGGAACGCCGAGCATATATCCAGCGGACTGGGCATTGTCAAACGCCATCTTTGAGGCTTCGTATGCTGTGAAGAAAGCCGCTGACGAGAGCGTTCCTGCGACAAAAGTTGGTCCGAACCCTTGGTACAGCCCGCTGAAGAGGGTGCGGTTGAGTGTTCCATTTAGGTGCTTGTAGACGCTGCTGTACATTGGCGATTGCATGCGCGTTATTACTGTGTCCATTGGGTGGATGGCACCTTCGCTGGCTAGCGCCGCGATTATTGCTGCCTGTTTGGGTTAGATCGGGTTCCTAGGTAGGAGTTTGATGGGTGGACTTGCTGTTGTTATTTCTAAGCCATTGAATGTGGACATTTTGATTTGAATCTTATCGCAAAACTCCTGGAAGGGATGGTTGTGACTGCGCTGTATAAAACCTGAGAGCCTTGCCGATTTCGTCGGGGTCCGCGGATTCCGATCTCAACTCCGAGCTTGCCCGACCTGTTCTGGTCGACTTATTATTTTAAACTTGACATACTATCTGTGCTTGCATATAAACTATGCAATACCCTAATACTAATCACACATAATCTGTATCGAAGGTCTTATTCTGCCTCTTCCTCACTCCAGCCCTCCCGTGTATCTTTAGGGATGCGAATGAATACCATAGCCATAATTAGAGAAGCGACAGCTAAGCCCACAGCCAGATAAGCAGCGCAATGATAACCCTTGAGGAGATCCTTCCCATTGTCAAACGTGTTTACCTCCACGGTGCCGGCAAAGCCAAGGCCGGTGCTCATCCCGTAACTGAGCAACGTTCCTACCAAGGACCCTGCAACACCCTGATGCTTGATCGATACTGTGTTGCTAGCAATGTTTTGAGCGCTTGTGACAATCAAGTCGATTGTAAAAGCAGACAGAAACATGGCTGGGAAAGCCATTGCCCAATATGTTAGGTGTTCTGGAATAGTGGCCAATAAAATATTGATGGCGGTCATTGCCAGACAACCCATGCTGATAATCACTTGAGCTGGCACTCGCGGGACTAGCCATGCTGCAAAAAATGCATTTGCACAACCCACAATTGTCAGAGGAAGATACTGAACCCCGACCTTGATGAGGCTATCTCCGCGAATGGTAATCATGTACACATTCATGTACCAAAAGTAGATACCCAAACTCATGAATGAGAAGAATATGGTGAGCATAAGGAAGCCGAAAGAAGGCGCTTTCCATATGTTAAACGGCAGTATCGGCTCCTTGGCCATCTTCGTTTCCCAGTAGGAAAAAGCACCGAAGTGAATGATCGACAGTACCAGAAGGGTAATCTCATAGGGACTGGTCCATCCAACAAGGGGGGCTTGGCTGCAAAGATATGAGACTTCAGCTTTGCATATATTCTCCGTTCGGTAGAACTTACTTCCACACAAAATTGAACAAAATAAGACCACCGACTCCTAGGTAAGCTCCAACCCAATCAACTGAACCATTCGGGTCCACAGGCTCATCAGGAGGAACAGAGATAATTGCAGTCCCATAAACGACAAGCCCTAATAGCCCACTTGAAGGAAAAACGTCAGCATATAAAACTTCCATTCCCGAGCAATGCATTCTCACAGTATGAAGAACAAGTATTTCCACTCTGTCAGCTAGACGATAACTGCAGAGACCAGAGAACCACCCGCCGCACCGACAGGCGCCATCGCTCCGAAATAGTGCAAAACCCAAGGTTTCGCTTCCTTCCAGGTGGGAAGGTGATGCCTAGCAAAGCCACGATGTTCGGAATTATGAGACCGCCTCCAATTCCACATAACCCTCTCATGAAGCACATGGACACCAAGTTGTTTGCGCATCCTCCACACAGGGCCCAAACAACCCACCAGATACAACCGATCGAAAATATATTCTTATGACCATATACAGCTCCCAGGCGGCCACCTTATGAGAGAATATCTTAGTAAATAATGAAATGCGTGATGAAAGGAAACGCTTACCAATAAGAACGAATGCTCCTTGGGTCAGAGGGTACGATGCAACAATCCATACAGACTGGATATTTGTCGCACCTAGCGACTCCCCGATTGAAGGCCTGAATTGATGCCGGCACCGAGTGGGATCATCTGAACCAGTTGGGTCAAGGTAATGGCAATCATGAAAAGAGTCTCTCTGGCATTGTTTGGTGAATTGCCATCTACTTTGTGGCCAACGGTGTCGCTTTGCAAGTCGGATGGACCATCCTTCTCACTTTCACTCACAGGAAGTGCGCTGGGGTAGGATATACATTCTGAGTTCTCCTGCATGTCCATTTCGACGCAAGGCCAGAGGGTTTGGAGGTAAAATTCAGAATCTTTTATAAAATGTAGCTAGGGGGCGAGCTTCTGGGAAGAGAACGAAGATATAAATGCGCAGGAGACCATTGTTGAAGCATGACAGAACAGGAGAGAACCAGCCCTCCAGGGCTGGTGACCACACTGTCTCGGTCAGCACATATTGCAAATGGATTTTTTTGTGCGGAAATTGCTATTGGCAACAAATGGCTGACAAAAATATGTTAACATATGGTTTGCAATCTTTCTTTGCCTAGCTACCTAGTTTTTTAGTAATTAGCAAGCGGAATGAATTCCGTTCTGAAATGACAGGGATGTTAACGTTACATGTGTATCTAAGCAGAACTATCTATCCCTAAAATTTGCTCTACGGGAAGACTCCCAAACCTTCCAAGGTTTATAGAAGTGAATATTGAGGCTCACCGGGAAGAAGAATTCTCCACATGTTGTGTATACATACCTAGGTAGTACGGCAGTGTGTAGCCGCCAGTGCGCCATGTCGTATTTTGCTAGCAGAACATTTCATAAAACTAGTATTCGTGTGTTTTATTAACTATAGATATTGATAGGGATTGACACTCTAGAGACCACTGAAAAGATATATAATAAGACTATCGGAGAAGACTATAGCCGTATGAGCGGCCAATTATTCTTATTATAGGAATTAAGATATTGTAGAAATTGGCCCTATAGAAGTTGATATTGTAGGAATCAATCATTAGACCCAATCTGTAGGTAATAGTACACCGGCGGTATGATAGTCAAAATTTAATATGGAAAAATACCTGACGCACTGGCGCCTATACAGAGTCCGTAAACAACATAGATCGAACAGTCTGATTGACCCACACCCACGGGTAACCATACCAAATCGGGATTAGTGCTGCAAGCGGACCCGCATCGGGATACCTACCTAGGTACTAGGCTAAGACATAACCTGGACCAGTCTGGCGCGGAGCGCTGTATACTAGCTCATTCCACATTAGCTGCCAGTCTCAGCTGGGCATTGTTGGCGCTTGCTAGCTCTCGACTCAACACACTTGCTCTTCCTTAACCTGTAAGATCATATTCAGTCACATCCTAGGTATTCATGAACTACTCGACGATGATCCCATGTTATCAAAAATCGGTAGAGCAGTTTGTTCATTGCCCCTTCGGGACTTTTCTGGACTTAGACCCAATATCTCTATCTCCACCGCAGTGATAATGATTGACATATCACTATATTATCTCTCTGAGTCGATTAGCTAGCGCATTTCATCCAGTTCCTTCAGTGCATCTTTGGTGTCTCTCGTGGAACTATACTCGAGGACAGATTTCCCCGCTGTGATGTCAAGTTATTTTGCAGCTGGTTGCTCTAAATGCGCCCTCATGCGACTACGGTGAGGCTGTTATGAAAATCTTCGTTTCGTTAGCCTATTACACAACCTATAGAATAGGCTGCCCTTCGTTCCTTCACTTAATCACAATCTTTTCGAGCTCATTCTCAATTGGCGAGTTCCCTTGGACATGTTGGTACTAGTCAATAACACTAGTATACATCCGTGGATGTAGGTAAGCCACGCGACTACGTAATTATCTCGTTAGAATGTGACACTATATTCCAAACGCCTCCGGGGGATGCTACCTGGTAAAATAGAGCTACTTTACCCATTTCAACTCATCATACTCATCCATAAGCTGAGTATAATCCTTACCAGCTGCCGCCCACCCCTTAATCCCCCTTCTAACACAAGACTCTTTATTATCATGTCCTTTTGCTCCTCCAGATATTCTGCAAACAAGTTCGCAGCACGCACCCCACGACCTCGGGAAGAGCCTGCTTCTTTTGTTAGGTTGGAATATTCTTGACGAGGAAACCGAAACACACTGACCACAATACCACACTACGTTAGCGATTCCACCTTGCGAGAGGACAGAATATAGAGTCGGAATAGTAGGATACAAGCTCTGCGATGGGAGATTTAGAGAGCCCCGGATTGTGCCTCCCTATGTACTTATTATAAGATCGGTATATAGACGGTGGAAAGAAGTTGTGTGCGTACCTCGAAATCAGTACGGCGTAAGTCAACTAGAACAAAATCTTTCCCGATCCTCTTGCCCTCGTGAAACCACCGGAGGAGCTCGACGCGGGAAATTGAGCCTGCTATAGTGCTTTGAGTAGCGTAAGCTGCATGTCAAGATAGGTACGCGGTGACTTTACCGTGCTGGGATCATTCTTGTTCTTTTCGTCCGTAGTTGAGACTGATAGGGAAAACGAGATAGGCTAAGAACGGGATCGGAAAAAGGAGATATAATGGAGTATATGGAAGGATCAGATGATGTATTTTGTAGATATAAATTGAGTTAGCCTCATGGAACACTTTCAGAGCCCTCGAGTCATTTTGCATATTAGCCGGAATCAGTGTTAGCATGTCGCTCGCCTCGTGTGATTGGCCAATACCTGACTAGACGACCGAAAATCCCTTCGAATATTTGTTGTGAATACAAGTTCCATATCTTCCAAGGTTCCGTAGATCTGTGAGTCTTAGCTAGAAGAGTCATCAGGTTGCTAGTCGAGGTAACAAAGTATGTTGAGCAATTATACCAGAATAGATTGTCTTTATGACACACTCTATGTTATTCTATTCTATTCTATTTTTTTTTGTTCTCAACTAGCTGTAGCAGCTTTGAGCTTTGCGTCCTTTATCTTCCTTTCCTCCCGTTCACTAAAACGGTCACCAAAAAGATCGATGTGAGGCCGCATCAGAATCGTATATTTGACAAACTCCTCCATGCAGTCCACCAGACGGTCTCGGTTGCCACTAGGCATGAGTCGTTGATCGTCCGGTTGACCTTCATCCGGAAACTGTGTATATGCCTTGGGAATTGAAGACTGGTTCGGAATGGTAAACATGCGCATCCACCGACCCAGGATACGTAAAGAGTTGACCGCGTTGAACGATTGGGATCCACCGCACACCTGGGCAATGGCCAGCGTTCGGCCTTGGGTGGGACGGACACTTCCAGCAGACAAAGGAATCCAATCGATCTGATTCTTGAACACAGCGGTCTAGCGTTGTGGACAAAGCATGTTAGTAAATAATGCATTAAATGCTAAGTGTATCGCCGGAGTTCACTCACCAAATTGCCGTGCTGTTCAGGCGAGACCCAGACATGTCCATCGCTCCAGAGACTGAGTTCTCGGAGCTCCTGTACTTTTAGATGGGCGGTATCACTCTCGTTCTTCACGGGAAGACCTTCGGGGTCAAAGACGCGTACGTCACATCCGAGTCGGAAAAGTATACGGGAAGCTTCCAACGCCACAAGTCGGGAGTATGACCTTCTGCGAAGACTTCCATAGAGCACCAGGACTTTCAGTCTCTGGTTTGTAACCCGCAGGTTATTTTCTGCCATGTCCGTTGCGGTGGCCAGGTCTAATTTGTTGACCCAGTCCTCAGATGAATTGTCGTCAAGGATGAATGGTCGATATTTCTGGCGGATATCTGGACTATCTTCACTCGGGGATAATGCCAGAGTCCGATATGAGGCATCGGCTTGAGGAATGGCGGAGAACATCCTTTCTGAATATTTGGGGCGCAGCAGAGATTGTGAGATTGCTGGCCTAAGTATCGAGGGCACTCGTTGTCTAAGGAAATATAACATAGATCCCAAGGTTAAAAAGGTAACAAAAACAAAACCGGCAAGAAGTTGACAGTTATTTTGGCCTGCTATATGTTGTAGGAGAGGCATGTCACGAACAAACTTTGATTGGATAAGGTTTAGTTAACTGACAACCAATCGAATTATGGCAAGTGGGCCTGAAGACCCATGGATCATTGGAGGCTCTTGCCCATTTAATTCCCCGAAGTCGGACCTGAAGATCCATCCCACCTTGGACCTTTATATCTTGGGTTTCTGGGACCAGTGCGATCCTGGACCTAATATGGAAATGGATCAGGCGAAGAAATAAAAAGGGTAGTCGTGGTTGAATAGGGTTGCTGCCAAAGTTTGCCAGAGGAAAGGGGCGAACCTTGGAAGAACCTACAGCTTACGTCCACAAAATGGAATGTGCTTGATATTCCCGTTGTATTTAGTTCTATATTATAGGTAGCAGTTACCTTATTTCTGTGCTCCGTGTAATGTTTATGCTAAGATATAATTTTGTGTACATAAATAGGGTTTAAATGTGAATTTGGGGCTTAGTGGATCTAAATCGCGTTAGTATGTATCTTGGCCTGACGTTCCTGCCGAGGTTCCGTGTCGTATATCCATGTTTAAACGTGCACTCCATCTCTTCTCTAGCCATCTCTCCAGCCTTCCTACAAGCTCCTACAGCCGAAATGAACACAGAAGAAAGCGTGCACACTCTTCCAGACGGCCTTGACCTGTATGCCAAGACATGGAAGGTATGCCTGAATTTGCAAGACACAGCTTTGATCCCTATCCGAATAAGTTGAGATGGACTCAAACATGAAGAAAAGGATATTGATTTTCAGAGCTAACAATGCGATCTACTCTATAGACCAGCGGGTCTCCACTTGCTGTTTTGGCCTTTATCCATGGCTTCAGTGACCACTGTGAGTCTATTATGTCGATTATGAACAATGACCCAAGGCAGGTTTCAACGTTACTGACACAAATCCTTGCTAGGCAATGCCTACCACGATCTGTTTCCAACACTGGCATCGGCAGGTGTTGAAGTCAGGTCTTTTGATCAGCGGTAAGTGTCCAACCACCAAGGCCAAACCCTACCCTGACATCTCACAATATAAATAACGAAGAAACGACCTATTTCACTGCGAACCCCAAGCTAACAGCCTGAAACCAGAGGATGGGGCCGCAGCGTCAAACAAACCAGCGACCGCGGTAACACAGGCCCAACCTCCCAAGTCCTCTCGGACATCCACTCCTTCCTGCAAAGCCTACCCTCCAGGCCTGACCTGCCCCTCTTCCTAATGGGCCACAGCATGGGTGGCGGCCAAGTCCTCAACTACATTTTCCATCCAGAGTCACCTTACAACAGAGACTTATATAACCGGCCCAACTTCACCGGCGTGCTTCTGTACTCCCCTCTGATCGCCATAGATCCATCTTCCCGCCCCTCAAAGCTGACAGTCTCAGCGGGACGAGTTGTCGCAAAGTTGGTCCCCAATAAGCAGCGGTATTCCCCGCTTGACCACAGTTTGCTGTCTCGTAACGAGGACGTGGTCAAGGAGGTCATGGCTGACGAGCTGTGCCATGATACGGGAACTTTTGAGGGCCTGGCTGGCATGTTGGATCGAGGTATTTTTTTGGAGGGGATGTTTGCCGCTGGTCCTGAGGCTTGGGTGGAAAGTGAGCTGCCGTTTTGGTTCGGGCATGGGGATGGAGATCGCATTACCAGTTATGCCGCGGTGCAGGCATTCGTCGAGGCGTTCACCGAGAATGGTGGTAATGTGAAGTTTTGTCCTTACGAGGGGGCTTATCATAAGTTGCATGCTGAGTTGCCCGAGACGACGGAGAGGTTCCTTGCAGATGTGAAGGCTTGGGTTTTGAGTAAAGTGCCTGGAACGAAGGAGGTGGTTGTTCAGCATGTGGTAGAGGGTGTTGCGGGTGAAGACACTGCCGCTCATGGGGATGCAGAGGCCGACGGCAAGGCAAAGCTGTGAGGTGATTGTTCTGTTGTGACTGTTTCTTGTTACGGCTGTTCATCTTTATGACTATCGTTATTACAGGTTGATATTATTATCACAATTCTCTATATGGTACAAATGCGTTCAGTCTGTATCAGACATGCAATAGAATACAGGTATATAGTACAGGATTTATATGCCTAGGACAGCTGGACCAAGAACTTACCGGTCTTCGATTCGCCGCCAGACTGCCACGAAACCGCCGCCCTGGATACGCACTCCGACCTTGGGCCGGCAGACCAAGACAGACTCTCCTCCCTTCGGGGGCTCCTCTGAGGTGGACACCTCAGAGATAGCATCAGAAGCAGCGGACTGCTCATCAGCTTCAACAGGAGTGGCACCCTCAGCATCTGAAGGGACAGCCCAAGACGATGGGTCGGCGCCTGACTTTTTAGTCGCAAAACGCACATCCCATGTACGGCCACCGCTGATTCCGGAGCCAAGCTCGATCACCTTTTCCTGAACAAGGGCAGTCGCTGGTCTCGGATCAGTTGCAGACACTCGCCGATCTGCGTGATACTAGGCATGAACACCACTAGGAGACCATCACGCTTTAACATCGGGGTAACATGTGGGATTCTCAAGTTTGAAGAAGGCATGTCCAGAATAACGTGTGAAAGGAACGGGGTGACGGGGTTTCCCCCAGTCAGTGAAGCCAGGCCAGTCTTTTTCCGCTGTTGCTTCTGCTGGGCAATCCAATTTTCAACGGGACCCACGTAGAAATCAATGTTGCCTGCATATATTCCACGGCGGAATCCCCGGATGTTTTTCTCGGCCAGCGCAGAGAACTTCGGCGATACGTCGACTGTGTGAATGACGGCGTTGCGCTGCGCTCGCCATGCATCCCATTCCTCCTGTGCTGGATCCGCGGTTTGCTCCGCGGGTTTCTCTCCTGCTTGCTCCGTGTCCTTTTCACCGGGCCTGGTGACACGGCCTTCTCAGATAGTTGATCTGGGATCGCGGTGGACGAGGCGGAGGAGTGGTATTGGCGGCGTGAATGGCGCGCGCCAGATGTAGTGTCAAGGATCCATGGCCTGTTCCGGACTCGAGGATTTCCGTAGTGGGTTGTATTTCGCCCGCGGCAGGAGTGTTGACATGGATGTCGAGAAGGGAAGCAATCAAATTGGCATCCTGTGGATAGATCTACTCAGGATAGCGTGAGTCCAATGTATCTCCGTTGCCGATTCGTAGGAGTGGTGCTCATACCGGCGTGACCAAGCGAGGGGTCAGGGCGACGTATTCTTCTAATGTTGGAAGGCTGACTCGAAGATTCAGGCCTGTATATAACGGAAGTATCAGTGACATGCCCAGGGAATATCGAGAAGTGGGTGTATTGACCTTTGCGAGACTGTACCGTGTCCCAAACCCGTTTCCCAATGATGCTGTCATGTTCCACTGCTCCGCGAGGGGTCTGGAGCTTTTCACCTCGTTTCAATGCCTTTGATAATGAGGGCTGTTTGCCGTGTAAAATGACTCGGTCTCCCTCTGCGCATTTTGTTAGTCCGGTGTTGGGAAGAAACGTTGCAACACAATTACCTTTGATAATGGAGAAATTCGTGTCAATTGTCCGAGAGCGCAAGGCGCCTGTTGGAGTCGCACCAAAGATGCGCTGCAGGGCCTGGCGCAAACGAGACATGATATAGAACAATATACTCCGTAGAGCCCTGCAATAAAAAGAAAACGGAAAATCTGGCTGATCGAGACTAGCCCGCTGCGGTACCGCTCGACCCACCCCCAGTCACCGAATCGAGGGGCACATCTTTAATCTCAGTTGCTTTTCCTCCTTCTCCGGACTGTACATATCTTTGATTTATTTCTATTGATATATATAGCGATCATGGGTTCTAACGCTCTCCCATACTTGGAGACTAAGCCTAAGCTCATCTTCTTCACCGACTTTGATGGGACAATCACAGTCGACGACAGTAGGTGCTTCCCCACAAAGTGCCTGTACTTGAATGCTGACTAGAATCGCAGGCAATGACTTCATGGTATGTCGCCTCGCTACCCTCCCGAGGTTTCCTAGATCTTTACTAATACTACTTAGATCGATAACCTTGGCTTCGGCCGGGAAGAGCGTCTTGTGTTGGGCAACCAGGTCCTTGACGAGACTATGAGCTTCCGGTGAGTGTTAAGACAATGTCTATGCCATAAGCAAGTCTAATGAGACTTTCTTCATTATAGTGATGCCTTCCGCAAGATGCTTGAAAGCATCAAGACCCCGTACGACGAGTGCATCGAAATTCTGTTGAAGAACATGAAGCTGGACCCGTACTTCGAGGAATTCTACCACTGGGCCGAGGATAACAATGTTCCCATTGTCATTCTTTCGTCTGGAATGCGACCCATTATCAGTGCCTTGTTGGAGAAGTTCCTCGGCCACAAGCCAGCCAGCCACCTCACCATCATTTCCAACGAGCCAACCAGCCGGGATGGCAAGGACATCAACAGCGAGGGTGGTTGGCAAATCGAGTACCATGACGACAGGTAAGCCACTGTCAATCCAATCATCATACCTCCCAGCGTCACTGACAATCATTCGCCAGCCACTTCGGGCATGACAAGTCCCTGGAGATCAAGCCTTACGCAGCGTTGCCCGACGGAGAGCGCCCGATTCTTCTTTACGCAGGAGATGGTGTTTCTGATTTGTCCGCGGCCGCAGAAACTGATCTTCTCTTCGCCAAGCAAGGCAAAGGTACTCATCTGCCCGAACCGCCTAAGATTCCAGATTCCGAGACACTGAACTAACGCTGTTGTAGATCTAGTGACCTACTGCCAACGTAAGGGAATGCCCTACACGACTTTTGAGAATTGGTCCACAATCCTCTCGACCTCCAAAGACATATTGAGCGGCAAGGTGTCCGCGAGTGATGTGGCTGCCAAGGCTTCGCTCGGCCTGTAGAACGGAGATAGACCGGTATAGACTTACAACTAGATGCACATGAATATTGATGATGGATATAAATTTCACACAAATTTAGCCAAGAATAATGTGAATATCAGTGAAAAAGAGGAAGAATCCACGGATAGACAAGTTGATGAATCACCAACATACAATGGGGGAACCTTGGAAAGGCTAGAACCATTCAGGAGTCACCGCCTTCAGGGTCCAAGCGTCGAGGGTGAACTGCGAACTTCAATCCTCCAAACAAATTATACCTGTCCTTTATATCCTAGAGTTGACCGAACCTGGTCTTCTCCTTTGCCCTATACTCTTGCAATTCGTGGGCATCATGCGACAGGGCGCATCGCTTTTCTTCAAGTCCTTGCCAGGGTGATATCTATCTCATAATGGCTCGCCGGCTAGTATGACATTATTTGACTCCCTGTGAAGCACTTGACTAACAATCCGTGTAGGTCCGAGCGAGTGTACAGCTCGGTTTATTCGCAACATTCATTTCTCCTCGTCGTCGTCATTCTCGATAATCAATACAGTGTCCTTCCCTCTTCAATCCATGGCCATCTTCCGTCGCATTATTCCGGATACGTGATCACAGATGTGACCGTCACAGCATGTTCCTCCCTCAATCCATTCTCGAGCTGCAAGCTAGACCCAGAAAGCTGGTACCGCGTCGATAAGGACCTCTACCTGCGCTCCGGCTGGACTTCGAGTGCCTACGTCCAATTCAAGCGGAAAAGGAGGAGGAATTGGGCCCTGATGACAAGGTGGTCATCGACTTGAAAATCAGTCGTCTCACTCCCCAGTCTGAATTCGTTGGAAAGACCGAAATCGAAGCGTGGGAACCCCGACCGGGAGGCATCTGGCTCAAGCGCTCGTCCTCCCGCCATGCTAGCGACTCCGAAAGCGCTGTGACGTACGTCGACGTCCTTTATGGAGCGGATGCTGTCGATCCCCGTCCCAACTGGGAAGTTAAAGATACCCCCATTCTCCTGGATAGTCGGACGGAAGAGTTGGAGACTCGCCTTAGTATTCGAAGAGGGCATCCGCAGGCCAAACTCAAGAAACCCGTTCCTAGAATCAATGAGAACGGGAAATTCAAAGTGATGCAGCTAGCAGATCTCCACATGAGCACTGGTCTCGGCCACTGTCGTGACCCTGTTCCCACGGAAGCGGAAACTGGCCAGAAGTGTGAAGCCGACCCTCGGACCTTGGAATTTGTCGAGCGACTTCTTGACGAAGAGAAGCCGGACATGGTGGTCTTCTCCGGTGACCAGATCAACGGCGAGACCGCCCCAGACGCACAGAGTGCTCTGTACAAGTCTGTAAAGCTTTTGGTCGACCGCAAGATTCCTTACGCAGCCATCTTTGGAAACCACGACGATGAGGGTGACCTCAACAGAGAACAACTCATGGCTCTATATGAAGACCTCCCTTACTCTCTTGCAGTCGCCGGTCCCGAAGACATCGACGGAGTCGGCAACTACGTTGTCGAAGTCCTCGATTGGGGCAAAAGCACACATTCTGCCCTGACCCTCTATTTCCTTGACACACACTCCTACTCCCCTGACGAGCGTCAGTTCCGCGGCTACGATTGGATCAAGCCGAGCCAAACCCGGTGGTTCAAGAACACCGCCCAAAGCCTGAGAAGGAAACACCAGGAATATAACCATATCCACATGAACGTGGCATTCATCCACATTCCGCTCCCTGAATATCGCAGTTCAGGAAAGTACTTCAAGGGCTCATGGATGGAACCCCCTACTGCACCAGGGTTCAACTCTGGCTTCAAGGACGCCCTCGAAGAAGAGGGCGTCTTGTTTGTTAGTTGTGGACAGTGAGTCACATGCTTTCCTTTTGTGTCGTTCCGAAGACTAACTTTTCTCTAGTGATCATGTCAATGACTATTGCATGCTCGAGCAAGACGACAATTCGAAACCCTCTCTCTGGATGTGCTACGGGGGCGGTGTTGGACTGGGTGGGTACGGTGGCTACGATGACTTCGTTCGACGAGTCCGTTTCTTCGACTTCGACAGAGGCCCCGGTCGTGTATCAACATACAAGCGTGTAGAATGGGGTCAAACCGAAGCCAAAATCGACGAAATGATGATCGTGGACGGCGGTACCGTCAACAGCCCGGAAGCAACTTAACGAAGTCTGACTTATATCTCCCTATGCTCCTTTCCCTTCCTCTTCCCCATCTTTTATCGAGATGTCAGCATGTCTGTACTGCCCCTGCTCTCACATACTGTCGTTTCCGTTCTTGTTCGGCGACATGTGTCTTATTTTCCTGTACATATATCTTTTTGCCCCTTGCCTGCATTAGGTCGGCGTCTGCGGGGAGTCTTGTCTTTTTCTGAAATATTGAAGCCATCTCTCCTAGTCTTATTCTGCTCTGGTTCTTGTGGCCGAGGACTGTAACGCTGAATGTTCATTCACTTACGAACAGACTCTGCAATTAATCTCCTGTGAATATCTTACATCGCCTACCAATCTGGCCATCCTTACCACCATTTCTCAAAGAAAACTCGCTGCTCCCCGCCGTCCCCTAGCATCTCTACCAACTTCTCCACGATGGAATCAGTCATATCCGGCGGTCCACAAACATAGCATACTGTGCCATAAGAATCCGATTCACCACCTGCACCCACAGCCGCAGAGCGCAGATCATGATCAGATATCCTGTTCGGATGAATCTTGAGATCCGAAGGAGACCCAGATGAGAGCAGATCAGACGATGAAGCCAGGTCCGTAAGGAAAAGGTCCAGCGAGATACGGAGCCGATGCGAACTCTCTTGAGATCGCATTATCTGGCGCAGACGTGGGAGAAACAGGATTTGGTCTAGTATTGCGTCTGCAGAGCCTGTTCCTTGGTCTTGCGGTAGGCGACTGGAGTATAGTATGTGGATGGTTTTTGGGTTGGCGGTGCGAGGTTCGTTGTTGTTCAGGTGGGAGAGCATGGATATCAGAGGACTGAGACTGCGTTAGAATTCCTCCATAAGGGGTTGAAACAAGTGAGGCCTTGGTTTGCGCTGGTGTATTTTTGTATACCCCGGAGATAAGGGACATGATGTTTGGGAGGTCTCACTTACTTGATGCCAACACCACCCGCAACGAAGACCACATTTTTAACATCATTAATACTGATTCCAGTGGGAGGCCAGACAAAGCTTCCACCAACTCGGATGTTCAGTTCCCTGCCTAGGATCTCTTCCTTTGGCCTCCATAGCCATGCGGCGGATGGGTTGCTGGGCGAGTCTTGCACAGCCAGTTCAACATATGGTGGTCGCCCTTGAGATTCTGAAGATGGTTCTAGCGCCTCGCCAGCCAATGAGTCTGTAGAAGCTTCCGGTGACGGCAGCACTTCGGCATCTGCCGGGGTGGAGGTGATAGTGAAGCCCCCCGCTTGGGCGATGGAGGGAATATGGACATCAAGCCATTGGCCCGGGAGGAAGCTGAATGGCTGTTGATTGTTATCCTGTACAATGCATTAGTGGTGTCTTTTGGGTGAACGTGTGTGATAGAAGATGCCCCGATGTGATTGGAACATTGGCCGTGCGGGGCATATGGATAACGGCGCGGGGACAACAATATCGGACGGGCTTAATATATAAGCCGAAGGTAAGGGAAATAGGACATATGGAAAGGAAATAGAGGAGTAAAAAAAAAAAAAAATCCCCATACATTATTTTCTTGAGAAGGCAAAGCGAACTGTAGTAGCCGGACAGAAGGGTTGACCTGCTCGATGTGCGACAGTCGCACTGGATATAGTCTATTTTGCCGGGGCTCTGCAGCTGTGCGCAGCTCATGAGGAATTGACTCATCTCTTTGGGAAGTCATTTGGCCTGTAGTTCTTGAAATGGAGCGAAATCCGAGTTGACTAGGCCGGATGATGCGGAGTGGAACAGTTGAGCGAAGAGCAAGCGAACACAAGGACAACGACTTCATCAAGAAAGATCAATATATGTATCAAGTTACAAGGGTGTAATTGGATGGATTAAGTGGATTAAGTCCCTGAAAGATGGCATGATTGTATTGAATATGAGACCAAGCCAGTTATGGGTTGTCGTTCCTCTGCCGACCACATGACTTCCTTTCTACAATCCATTTAAGCCACCACTCAACAACTTCCCTTAGAAATCGACAACCTGGGAAGTAATGATGGCGATGGCTATCACAAACGAGGTACCGTCCTCTTTGTCCCCATTTTCCTGACTCCGGGGCTAGCAGGGGTATATGTACAGCCCACTGCATAGTCACAGATGCGACCTCATATCACCCCCCTCATCAGCGTTTCGCAGGCGCTTCGTACTAAAGGCTGCAAGTTTCCTCGGAGTGTCAGGGTTTTTCGCTGATCCTGTTGAGGGGAATTATGTGATGAGGGCTCAATGCAGATCTGCCATCCTATCACACCGTCTAGCGTGTGACGAGCGGCGTCTTCCCTCGATCCTCGCCGTCTCATTGGTGTGATGACCCCGGCTTGCTCCTTGCGCTGGCGCTTTGCCGCCATCAAGCATTGGCCAGATGCACCTCCCAAACACACATCAATCCCTCTGCACGGTCTTCCCATGCTGATTCGTGCCCCCTCCTGCATGCGATGGCTTGTGCCTTCGGCCACTCGTTGGTCTCGAGCTCATATCTAGCGCTCGTCCTCCAGGTCGCCCAGACTTGCGTTCTTCTACTTTTTTTTGTCCTTTTCTACCACGCTGAAGCATTTGGCCCTTTACGTGCGACAGACTGAATGTCTTAGCCAGCCGGTCTGGCCAAATCGCATTGTACACAGCTTTAATCCTACCATAAGCGCTTCGGCTCAACGGTCAGCTTGGGAGAAATAGAGTCAATTTTTATTGCGGTCGTTCGAAAATCACCGCTAAAATGCAGTTCCTGTTCCCAAAAAAGCATAAGCACCACAGGATCGTCCTTTGGTTGATGGCGAGGAGTTTCCGCTCACTATCGTGATGCTGACATTAACGGGTATTGCTTCCCACGATCTATACCGGACATTGTTATGGCAAGATGGAGCAGACAATGGATTTAACAGTGCTCCGAACGAGGCACTGTATGCAGCAGCGAACTACCAGCCATTCAAGCCCCCCATGGTTTGGTCCGACTTGTATGTTACTCACTATACCCAATGTTCAAGAGCTGGCCGCTGACCCTGGGAATAGTACCACCGACTATAACCTTGTCATGGGTGTTTTGAGCACTTTCTTCCTCATCACCAAATTGCCTACCCACTGGATGAAGCTGTTTTATCCTCCTGTTGCGGCCGCCGTCCACGGGTCCTTGATAATTCTCTACATCGTGTCAGCGGCGTATCAGGCTGGGTCTGACACGTCAGACCCAAGGCATCCCCAACCAGGGGCCCCGTGGTACATTGCGAAGAGTTGCAGTGTTGCCTCTAAAAAGTCCAATATTCCATACTGCATGCAAGCCAAAGCGCTGTTTGCTGTGACCATCCTCATGATGTTAGTTCGACCCCGTCCACTCTAATAATTTTTTAATTTCTACCCTTTTACGAGGAAACAGTTAGCTAACAGCTCCCTCAGTGTCTACTATGTAGTTATCCTCGGCTTCAATATCCACTCCTGCTTCATCACTCCCGAAGAACGGGAAGCGATCCTGGAGCAGAGAGAAGAGCGACGCATCGAGAAGGAGTTCGAAGAAGAGATCATCAAGTCTCCCAGCATGATACCCATGACCCCCGGCTCAATGCCTCAAGGACCGGGCATGGTTCCCCGCACCCCGGGGGTTCCGCCCATCGCTGTTGGGGGAAGCTTCTCACCCTACGCACCCCGTACGCTGGCCTTCAACCGACTCGGCAATGCTAGTACCGCCTCGGACCTTCCCCTGCGGGATAACTCGCGCGCAACTCAGCCCCAATACCCGTCGCCGCAATCGCATGAAGTCAGCCCGGAGAGTTCAACAGGCTCACCGATGTACTTCCCGCCGCCGCCAAAGAAGGCCGCTAAGGCTTGAATGGGGGTTGAATTGTTGTTCGTGAAATTGCTTTTGTGATACCACTTGTTGTTGCCCATACATCACCTTCATTATTTAACGGGACAATGATGGCGTTCAGATGGCTTAGTTCCGTTTCTTTGGCCCTCTCCGTGGGATTGCCCTTTATTGGCCAAATGTGCACAGCTCCTTAGTATATACTGTCTCATATTTGGCGTTGGACAATTGATTTGCTCCGACTTTGTTCAAAATCATTAATTCCTCATAATCTAGTTTTGAGTTCAAGGAAGAACATATAAATTCCGTAGTGCGAAAATGTTTACACAGGCAAAACCCAGCTGTGCAAAAGTATTGTGCAAGAAATTCAATAGTTGTCCTGGTTAGGAAGAACTGGACGAAGGACTGACGCTGCGTGAGAGCGGGAGCCTACACAGCCGGCAGTCACCCAACACCCATAAAAACGACATAGCCCCTCTCGTCCACCTCGTGCGTCTCTCGACCAGCTCATTCACCGAATTCGGATCCTACCAGCACATCCCCACCGTCACAGCCTGCCTTAACGTTATGGAAACCAACGTGCTTCTCGATCTCATTCACGTGGTGCAGGGCCAACTTTGGGTTGACAAGGTAAACGAGGCCCACAGAATAGGCCGCCTTTGCCCGTGGGTGTCGACTTTTCATCCAGAGAAGCTTCCCTGCGTACTTGACGGTACGTTTCACCATGGCGCATTTAACGCCGGCGTAAAGATGGTTTTCAGTGATAGCACGGCCTGGATGGTTCGTTTCCCCGTCTTGGGAACGTCTGTGAAGACTATACGGACGAGAAGGTTGCTATGGAGGTGTCTGCCCTAAATCTCATCCGCAACACGACTACCGTTCCAGTCCCAATAGTCCGGGCTTGGGGTCCCGCTGCTAGCAACAGACTTGGTCTAGGCCCTTTATTATAATGGACTTCATAAACGGTGTGAGCCTTAGCAGCCTTCTCCAGGACCCCAACGCCGAGCAACCTAGCAGAGTTATAAGGGACGATATCAGCGATAGTGATATTGAGGTTATCTACAGGCAGTTGGCAAATTTCCTGCTTTAACTTTTCAAACTGGATTTCGACCGGATCGGCAGCCTGCCACAGACTGAAAGTCAAAGCCCTACACCACCGCGGCCGTTGACATTTAAGGCACAAACTATACTACACGATGGAGGAGTCGATACTTTCGGTACGCATTGTTTCTTGACACTTCAACAGGGAGTATAGGTTAACGTTAGAGGTATCTTGGCGTGAACATGCAAGACAATGGAGAGAACCTTGGAAGGTTAGCTAGAAAAGTAAATAAGCCAGAAAATTAGGCCGACTCCTGTCGCTTCTTCTCTTTCTTAGACCAGCGCACTAAAAGGACGCAATGGATTAGCTCGTTCCATGCCAAGAGTAGACAGCTTACAAGCAAGCTGAGCGGGGTTACAAGAGGCGGTGGACAAGACTTACAGCCACAAGCATTGCATAAGGTCTTAGGCCCGTTAGGCCCTTTTCTCCATTCCGGCGAGTCTGCCGTTCCGCAGTCGCTGCAGACATGCTGGGCCTTGAGCCGTTTACGGCGGTCACCTTCCTGAGCATTGCGCTCTTGGTCTGCAGCTGTGGTGATGTCGATATCGCAGTGTACAAGACGGCCACGGCTGACACCTGTACTGAGGCCTTGCGATCTCTCGCCCTCTGCAAAGTTAAGACCGGTCATGACCTCAATGCCGTCAATATGTGAGTAAACTTCGTGGGTATTGGATCCTGGGCCATAGCCCGTCGACTGGCTCGTGTCGGATTCCTCCGAATTTGGCCCCACCGTGTCCGTAGTATCAGGATCACTAGACATTTCGCCTGAACGGGTGAATTGTTGGCCCTGGTTCTCGGTCACTGGGCCGCGATTATCCTGGTCGCTCCTGAGAAGAGGGCACCCGAGCCGCGGTCGCCTCTTCATCTTCTTCTTGCTTCAATTTCGCAATCTGTTGCATCAGGCGTGCGTTCTCAATCTTGTGTTCCAAAAAAGAGTCAAGGAGCTGGGAGACCTTGTTTATATATGGCCGACATACGAGGAAAAAGCCCGTGCAGGGCCCATTCGCGGTTGTGGTTCTCCCTGCCTGATGCTCCTCCTGCTTTGCAATATGTGGATGACCATACGCCTCCATAAGACAATATGTGCCGTTGGTCTTTTGGAATCGTAAATGGGTACGGAAGGATTGATTCGCGGCAACCGAATCGTCCATGTCTCTCTGGAGGATTTGCTGGTCGTCTTCATGGATGTACTGTGCCAGAAGACTTCCCTCGAGTTGTTTTGCGACACATCCCGTGATATCCTTGCACGATGGGTTGGCATAGGCGATCCGGCCCTGGGGTGTGAGAAGAAGTAGCATGTCCTTCATTTCATCCAAGACCCGCTCTGTCCAGACCCCATCGTTTTGTACGGCCTGGTATCCCCGGTGTTGAGCACCTTGCACCCCGTAGTTCCCGCCATAGGATCCATGGGCTTTCTGTTGCTCCATTGCGTACCCTGTATGCCCCTCATTGGAGCTCAATCTCATTTGGGAGGCGGGTAGAGGCATACCCTCATAAGGTTGTGGGCGACTCAGAGCCATACCGAGTGCGGTATAGAGATATTAAACGAGAGAGATCTAATGGTACTAGGGATAGGCTTGAGTGCTTCTGAATCCAACGTCTCTCATAAATAGCCAGGGGATTTCCCTAAAAAACAATGGCCGCACGAGCGGACGGATATAGTAACGGCGTTGAGGATGGAATTGCTCATTCTCCAAATTCGAGGCGGTACATTTGGTACATTTGGCTAAGAGGGGGTTGGACAATGTGCCTCTCAGAATATACACATCGTCTCAAGGAGGGTCTGGACTCCTTGAAAAGAGAGAGCATTGGAAATAATAGCCGGCCATTGCTGGTTGACAAAACACCGCCGATCCCTGTGGGCCTCCGCACCTTAGTACAATTCACGTGATTTCGTGTCGCCTTGACGCGGGACTGTATGATCGATCACAATCAACGCTCCGAGCACTCTCTTTTCTCAGCCTTCTCTCTGTTTAGCTTGTATCTAATTGTATTCGATAACGCTAACAGCCAACGGGCTCAAACGCCCCTCTCTGCGCTTGAGTTCAAAATGTACGTGCTGATCATTCCCCGCCTCGTGTCGCGATGCTAACTGGGTTTTAGGTGTAAGTGCAACAGCTCTATACCTCGGCGAGAAAAACGAAACGATCCAACAGCCATCTAACATAATGTAGCGAAGATCGATAAGCTCTCTATCCTGGGGTATGTCTCTCAAAACTTTTAATCCGAGTGCAACCACTGCGGAGAGTAATTACATTCATGCTCATCAAACCGTGCTTGTTCTAGAGTCCGCTCTTTCGATAATACGCGCAGCGAAACAATCCAATTCCACACACCCCTCACATTGATTGTCGGATATAATGGCTCAGGAAAGACGGTATGGAATGGCGAAATGGGCAGCTCGGAGTTACCAGCAGGGAACTGACGCGGATCTAGACCATCATCGAGTGTCTCAAATATGCCACAACGGGCGATCTTCCTCCGAACAGCAAAGGCGGTGCTTTCATCCACGACCCGAAACTATGTGGCGAAAAGGAGGTACTGGCCCAGGTGAAGCTGTCATTCAAGGCCACTTCCGGAGCGAAAATGGTTGCCACGCGCAGCCTACAGCTTACAGTCAAGAAAACCACACGGCAGCAGAAGACCCTGGAAGGCCAGCTGCTTATGGTCAAAAATGGCGAACGCACGGCTATTTCATCGAGAGTGGCTGAGCTGGACCAAATCATGCCACAGTATCTCAGGTGTATCAAAGGCCGTGCTGGATTCGGTCATTTTCTGCCACCAAGACGAAAGTCTGTGGCCAATGAGTGAACCATCTGTCCTTAAAAAGAGGTTTGACGAAATATTTGAGGCTATGAAGTACACCAAGGCCATTGACAACATCAAAGCACTGCGAAAGAAGCAGAACGAGGAGCTTGGCAAATTTAAGATCATGGAGCAACATGCGAAAGAAGACAAGGATAAGGCAGACCGTGCCGAAAAGCGGTCCGTCAAGCTTCAAGAAGAAATCGAGGCCTTGCGCGAAGGGACCCAGAAGATGTCGCAAGAGATGCGGCGTGTCGCGGAGCTTGCTGATAAGGCTTGGACGCAATCAGAAAGTTATGCCCAAGTCCTCGGTGCTCTTGAGGGAAAGCGTATCGAAGCTAAAAGTATCCAAACAACCATTGACAGCCTCAAGAGACATTTGGTTGAGCTTGATGAGTCTGATGAATGGCTTGAATCTACCCTGGAGCAATTCGAAACGAAGCAGCTCCAATACCAGCAACAAGAAGAGTCACACAAGGAAAACTACATGGAAATTAAGGAGCGGATTGAGCAGACTCGGCACCGCCTTGGCCTGAAACAAGCCGAGAATGGAAAGTTTGAGAACGACAAGGCCAATTTCGAGCGTCAGTCTCAAAGGCGCCAGAACATGATCAATGAGATTGCGCGCGCCAACAACATCCGTGGCCTTGATGAGACGATGGACCAGTCTGAAATTGATACCTTCATGCAGAAAATAAAACGCCTTTTAAGAGACCAGAACCAGTCTCTGGATCGTGTGAAGCGCGAAGCCCAGAAAGAGCTTCGTGAGGTTCAAGAAACATTGAATGAGATTGGGCAAACCAAGTCTGCACTCCAAGAGACCAAGAATGCGGCAAAACGACAGATTGCTGCGAATGACAAGGAGGCAACAACTTATCAAAAGAAGCTCAACGAAATCGAGGTTGATGAGGGCTTCCAGGCTGCGCTTGAGTCAAAGGTTGAGGATATCACGTCAAGTCTTGACCACGCGAAAGAGCGATCCAAGGCTGCTTCCTGGGATCAAGATATCCAGGACACAAATGCGGAAATCCGCCGCCTTGAGGATGAAAGCTCGAGATTGAACACCGAGCTTATTGATTCAACCAAGAAGGCCGGAGAGTTGGCTCGCCTAGACCACCTTAAGAAAGAATCGAAGGACCGTGAGCGCAGTTTACAAACGATGAAAGGAGCCCATGGCGATCGCCTCGAGAAGGTTGTTGGGCCAGATTGGAAACCTGAGACGCTGGAACGAGGCTTCCAGCAAGCTCTCGATAGCGAATCAAAGCAGGTGGCTGATGCAGAGCGCGAGCGCGATGGCGTGAGCCGAGAATTGGAGCATGTAGAGTTCAAGCTTAAGACTGCCAAGAAGAACCTCAAGCAACGCCAAAAGGAACTTGATGAATGCGTGAAGGAAATCCATGAAACAGTCGACGCGGGACCTTCCGAATACCCTGAAATTGTGAAGGAGCGCCAGGCACAGTACGATCTCGCTCGCAAAGACGCTGATCAATATGCCGGAATGGGGGAGTATCTCACCAAATGTCTTGATGCTGCTAAGCGCACCAAGCTGTGCCGAACATGCCAAAGATCGTTCAAGAACGAGGCAGAACTCCAGACCTTCACAAAGAAGCTGGATGCCCTAGTCAAGAAAGCTGGCCTTGATGCTGAAGACGAGACCCTAAAGGGCCTTGAAGAAGATCTCGAAACAGCCCGCGCTGCTAGTGCATCCTACGACACTTGGGTTCGTTTGTCAGAGACTGTCATTCCAGAGCTGGAACAAGAAGAGCAAGAATGTGAATCCCAGCGTGACCAACTTCTGGAGAAGCTGGAAACTCAGGATGGAAAGCTTAGCGAGAAGACAGAAAGCAAACGTGACGTTGAGGGGCTTGCTAAGACAGTGAGCACTATTGCGCGTTACGATGCCGAGATTAAGACGATCAAATCACAAATTCAAGAGCTTTCTGCAAAGCAGCAGGACGCTTCAACCGCTCGTACCCTGGAAGACATCCAGGAGGAAATCGCCTCCATCAACGAAAAGTCACGGGAGTTGAAAAAGACTCTTTCGAAAGTGACGAATGAGAAAGAAAAGACGCGATCAGAGATCAACAAGCTTGAGCTAGAGTTCAGAGATGTCAAGAGCAACCTAGACAATGCCAAATTCCAGCTGGAAAAGAAAGCGGACCTGAATGTCCGGATGGAGGAATTCAAGAAGCTCAATAATCAGCAGAGGGAGGCCATTGAGAAGGCAGATCGAGATATCGAAAATCTCACGCCGGAGTTGCTTCAAGCCCAAGCCCGTTATGATGATATCAGCCAGCGAGCCGACGAGCGTGAACGAGATCTGCAGCACGAGATTAATCGCTTATCCGAGAACATCCATCAGCTTGACCTTGCCAATGACGACATCAACTCGTACAACCAGCGGGGAGGTCCGGGCCAGCTTGAGCGAAGCAAAAAGGAGCTTCAAGAAATCGAAGCTGAAATTGGCAGACTCGAAGCCGATCAAAGCGAGATCACAAGGGAGATCAACAAAATCTCGACCCAACTTAAAGACAGCGAAAACACAAAGCGGCAATACTCCGACAACTTGACATATCGTCAAGCCACTCGATCTCTCAACGCAGTTGTCGAAGAAGTCGAGCAATTAGAAGCACAAAACGCTGAAGTGGACCGAGGTCGTTTCAAGCAAGAGTCAGAACGCTGGACTCGTGAACACAATGCACTTGCTGCCAAACAGGCGAGCAAGATGGGCGAAATGAAGTCCAAAGACGACCAGTTGATGCAGCTGCTGGCTGACTGGAACACGGATTATAAGGATGCCGCTTCAAAATACAAGGAATCCCATATCAAGGTCGAGACCACCAAAGCCGCCGTCGAAGATCTGGCTCGATACGGTGGCGCTCTTGACAAAGCAATCATGCAATATCATGGCTTAAAGATGGCAGAAATCAACGCCATCGCTGGCGAACTGTGGCAGAAGACCTATCGCGGAACGGACGTTGACACAATCCTCATCCGCTCCGACAACGAGAACGCCAAGGGCAACCGATCGTACAACTACCGCGTCTGTATGGTCAAGTCAGGCGCCGAGATGGACATGCGAGGCCGATGCAGCGCAGGCCAAAAGGTTCTGGCTAGTATCATCATTCGTCTTGCCCTTGCGGAGTGTTTCGGTGTCAATTGCGGTCTGATTGCTCTTGATGAGCCCACAACGAACCTAGACCGAGACAATATCCGCTCTCTGGCGGAGTCGCTGCATGATATTATCCGCACTCGCCAGCAGCAGGCCAACTTCCAGTTGATTGTCATCACGCACGATGAAGAATTCCTGCGCCACATGCAATGTGGTGACTTCACCGATTATTACTACCGTGTTTCGCGCAATGAGAGACAGAAATCAATCATTGAGCGGCAGTCAATTGCCGAGGTATGTCTTTAACTTGACCACTGGGTAATTCTTCTTGCTAACAATGTTTTTAGGTCATGTAACACCCTTTTCTTTCAGTCGTTCGGAAATTTTATTGGCTACATAGCTTTGCCTGGAGCAATCTTCCTCCAATCTGTTTTACGCCTTTTTAAACCAAGCATACTTCGGCGTTGACGTTGTCAAGTGATGTTGAATTTGCAATTTATTGCTATTGCTTATTGATACCTATGCGCTCTATCTATTTGAGCGTCCACGAAATCTGAATAACACGAGAATGCGACATGCGCATTAAAAGAATATTCCAAGAAATAGTACATAGTCGTAACGGAAAAAAGATGCTATGCTACAGACAGCCGATTTCTCAAGATCGAGAAACCAGTTGATGGATCAATCGAATCCAAAGACAACACTAGAACACACTGCACGATCTTACACCTGCTTGTCCACCTGGCCTCTTGCCTCAGCGAGCATGCGCTCCTGGTCCTTCTTCGCTTGCCGGATAGCTAGCACACGCTGGCGATCCGGACCGGATCTCTTCTTGATCTCCGCCAACTTCTGTGACAGCGCAATGTCCTCGCTAGTGGCGGGAACCACCTTCGCACCCGTCATGGCCTGCACACGGTCCCAGATTTGTTGATATGTGCGGTTCTTGATATCCAGAACGGCGGATTGCTCATTGGCCTCGGGGGCGGGGGCAAGCTCATCGACGACCTTCTTTTCGTTTGCGAGGGCCGTTGCGGCACTGCCGACCCGTTCGGCGAAGTAAATTGTCAATGCTGCGGGTCCTTGCTGGTTGGAGGTTTGTGCCACAGTCATCGGCACGGCTGGGTTGTGATATTTCAGTCGTGGAAGGCAGTTACGCCAGAAATGCCGCGCGCCTCCGTGGCCCTGGTCGATCTTGCGTGCATATGTGAGGTGGAGTCGGGTAACGGCTGGGAATTCTTTTGATGCGGAGGCGACGTTGGGGAAGATGGCTGCGCCTGTGCCAACCTTGGTCTGGAGCATCTGGAACAGTGAAAGAATGAGTCAGTTGATCGATCGCGTATCGCTAGATAGTGGGAGACAAGGCGTGTTCGGCCTCGGAGCTTGCAGGGTCGGAGATCTCGAGAGACGGGGTTTCGGCTTACTTTCTGTGGGCAGGGACAATCACACGTCAGTCCATCAATTCTGCATTACTTTGGGAGAGCTCGAGAGGGAGAGCTGAGAGAAGCTATACATACAGTTTGCAGTTTGCGAAGCCGCTTGAACAAGTTGACCATGATGAAAGGCTGTTCCGCACAGGGACTGGCCCTTATGCGATGAGACGTGTGGGTATAGGAGTAAGGCGAGAGTGCAATATTAATTGGCAAGATCCTTGCTCAAGAACAGTAATATAGGGCCGGAATTGCGAGTTTGTTGATCGGGGAAATTTATCGTAGATGCGCTTGTCGGCGAAGAAGTTGCTCCGTGATAGTCACGTGCAACCTCCAATCTATAGATGGTATTGATCTGGTCACAGAGAACATGTTAGTTAAAACTCACTCTAGACACAGATAAGAAGTAGAGATTCGTCAATTCGCATTTGTTTCTTAAACCAAGCTCTCCTATTTACTGTCTCCTTTACACACCAATCCATCTATGCAACGTTATAAACGACCTCTAGAGTGTGGAGTCCCCCCGTAAAATACAATACACTCGCATTACCTTGACTCACAAACTGATCAAACAGATTTTATATCTCGCCCCGCCATTCTTTTGTTCCCCTCCGCTCTTCAAGGGAATTATTGGCCAATTCTGACAATCAGGAAAAATGGCCGCCGCAGCTGCATCCGTAGCTGAGCTCGACCCGAGCAACAGCTCAAAGAACACCCTCAAACTGGAAAATGTTGATATACCCCTCCCCCGCCATCGCCGATTTTCATCTTCTAACTAACATTTCGCCCGCCAGACCGAAAAGCGAGACACCCTAGTCGCAATCGAAAAGAAGTACCAAGCACAATGGAAGGAGAACAAGGTCTTCGAAGTCGATGCGCCCTCGTTCGAGGAAGCCCCCCAGGGCGCCATGACCCCCGCCGAGCTCCGTGAGAAGTACCCCAAGTTCTTCGGTACTATGGCCTACCCTTACATGAACGGTACTCTCCACGCCGGACACAGCTTCACTGCTAGTAAGGTTGAGTTCATGGCCGGATTTGCCCGCATGGAGGGCAAGCGTGCCCTTTTCCCTCTGGGTTTCCACTGCACCGGTATGCCTATCAAGGCCTGTGCCGATAAGCTCGCCAACGAAGTGAAGAAGTTTGGCAAGGGTTTCGAAGGATACAACGAGGAGGCAGAGGCCGCCGAGGACGCCGTCGCAGCCCCCACACAAGAGGTCAAGACCGAGGCAGCCGAGAAGTTCTCCGGCAAGAAGAGCAAGGCCGCTGCCAAGACCGTGAAGATGAAGTACCAGTTCCAGATTATGCTGGCAATTGGCGTTCCTCTGGAAGAAATCCACAAGTTCGCCGACGCTGCTCACTGGCTCGACCACTTCCCTCCTCTTGCCATCCGTGATCTTGACAGCATGGGTGCCCGTGTCGATTGGCGCCGGCAGTTTGTCACCACCGACGCTAACCCCTACTACGATGCTTTCGTGCGTTGGCAGATGAACCGCCTGCACGAGCTCGGCAAGATCATGTATGGCAACCGTTACACCGTCTACTCGCCTAAGGACGGTCAGCCTTGCATGGACCACGACCGCACCGAGGGTGAGGGCATTGGTCCTCAGGAATACTCTGCGATCAAGCTCCAAGTTAAGGAGTGGTCGCCGGAAATGGCAGAGCTCGTGAAAGGAAAGGTTGAGGATGATGCTAAGGTATACTTCGTTCCGGCTACCCTGCGTCCCGAGACCATGTATGGCCAGACTAGCTGCTTCGTCGGCCCAAAGATCAACTACGGTCTTTTCAAGCTGAAGGAGAAGGAGTACATTGTCGTGACCAAGCGTGCTGCTTGGAACATGGCCTTCCAGGGCCATTTCTTCGGTGATAAGTTCCCCAAGACTCAAGACGAGCTGCCGCAGGTTCTTAAGGCACCGGGTTCCGCCTTCATTGGAACATTGGTCAACGCGCCTCTGTCTTTCCACACCGCGGGTATCCGCATCCTGCCCATGGAGAGTGTTTCGGCAGCCAAGGGCACTGGTGTTGTTACCTCCGTCCCGTCCGACAGCCCTGACGATTACGCCACGCTGATGGACCTGGCGAAGAAGGCTGAGTACTACGGTATTCAGAAGGAGTGGGCTGAGCTTGAAATCTTCCCCCTCATTGACACCCCCACTTACGGTAACTTGACTGCCCCTGCTCTGGTCAAGCAGCTGAAGATCAACTCTCCCAAGGACGTGACCCAGCTGGCCCAGGCCAAGGATTTGGCCTACATGGAAGGTTTCTACAAGGGTACTATGCTCGTTCGGGAACTACAAGGGCGAGCCCGTCAGTGAGGCTAAGGATAAAGTCCGCAAGGAGCTCTACGAGAGTGGTGATGCCTTCCCCTTCGCCGACCCCATGGGCAAGGTTGTCAGCCGTAGTGGTGACGACTGTGTTGTTGCTTACCTGGGCCAGTGGTTCCTGAACTACGGTGAGAATGACGCCGAGTGGCAGCAGGAGACCCTGAACCACGTTGTCAACAACCTCAACACCTACTCCGCCGAATGCAAGAACGGTTTCGAGAAGAATCTGTCCTGGCTGAACCGCTGGGCGTGTGCCAGAACCTACGGCCTCGGTTCCCAGCTGCCATGGGACAAGCAGTTCCTGGTTGAGTCTCTGAGTGACAGTACCGTCTACATGGCCTACTACACCATCGCTCACCTCCTTCACGGTGACCGGTACGGCAAGACGACCGGCCCCTTGAAGGTGACCGCGGACCAGATGACCGATGAGGTCTGGGACTACATTTTCACAAGACGGGAAATCAGCGACGAACTCGTCTCTAAGAGTGGAATCAGCAAGGAATCTCTGCAGCAAATGCGCCGCGAATTCGAGTACTGGTACCCTCTGGATGTCCGTGTCTCCGGAAAGGACCTGATTCAGAACCACTTGACCTTCTTCCTCTACATCCACATTGCCCTCTTCCCCAAGGAGTACTGGCCCCGTGGTGTCCGTGCTAACGGCCACTTGCTCCTCAACGGTGAGAAGATGAGCAAGAGTACCGGTAACTTCCTGACTCTCAAGGATTCTGTTGATAAGTTCGGTGCCGATGCTACCCGTATTGCATTTGCCGATGCAGGTGACAGCATTGAAGATGCCAACTTCGAAGAGTCTGTTGCCAACAGCAACATCCTGCGTCTCTACACCTTGAAGGAATGGATCGAGGAGGTTGTTAAGGACGAGACTCTGCGCAGTGGCCCTGCTGATGCCTTCGCTGACAAGCTCTTCAATAACGAACTTAACAGCCTGGTCCGCGAGACCCAGAAGCACTACCAGGAGTAAGTTTGCATTACGCTGAAAGTCCATTGACAACGATAACTAACTCCTTATATAGCACCAACTTCAAGCTTGCTCTTAAGTCTGGCCTATATGACTTCACTAGCTCCCGTGACAGCTACCGTGAGGCTTCTACCGCTGCTGGCGTGGGTATGCACCGGGATACCATTCTGCGCTACATTGAGCTGCAAGCTCTGATGCTGGCACCCATTGCTCCTCACTGGGCTGAGTACATCTGGCTCGAGGTTCTCAAGAAGGTCAGTTTTCTTCCCCCACTTCATACTCAACCTTAATCTAACACCATTTAGTCCGAGTCTATTCACTTCGCTCAGTTCCCTGCCGTGCCAGAGCCCTCTCCCGAGCTGACCGCCGCTCAGAACTACGTCCGTGGTACTGCAAGCAACATCATGGGCTCCGAGGCCAACTTCACCAAGAAGCTCTCCAAGGGCAAGGCCATTACCTTCGACCCCGCAAGCCCAAGAAGCTTACCATCTTCGTTGCCAAGAAGTACCCCAACTGGCAGGAGAAGTACATTGATCTGGTGCGCGAGTCCTTCGACTCCCTGAACCTCTCCTTCAACGACAAGGAGCTCAACGCAAAGGTCGGCAAGTTCGGTGAGATGAAGAAGGCCATGCCCTTCGTTCAGAACCTGAAGCGCCGTCTGGTCAATGCTGGCGAGTCCCCCGCCACTGTCTTCGATCGCAAGCTTCCCTTCGATGAGTTCGCTGTTCTGTCTGAGATGGTGGGCGGTCTGAAGCGCACCTCCGGCTTCAAGGAGATTGAGGTCATTGCTGTTGACGAGGGTGGCAAGACTGGTGAAGTTGTTGGCACTGGTGAGAAGCGTGAGGGTCTGTCTGGCGAGAATGCCGTGCCTGGAACCCCTACGTTCCAGTTTGTCAACGTCGAGTAAACGACGTTTCCTTGAAAAATACAGTCTCATTTTCCAGTTTCAACAATCATGCTTGATGACTTATGCAAAAATAAAATAAACCAGAATAGCATATAGCATTTTCAATATTTCAGTTCTTTGAGCTTAATAATCGATGGATTGAAGACTTTCTGAACTTTCTTGTAAATGGAACACGTTGCGACAATATTTTCACTTCGACACTGCAACTACACATGTAGACGAACACCCCGTCGGTCACGGACACGTAGTGTCGTGGATAATGCTTCATGCACTCGGCTTTAATGCACTTAACAATCTGAAAACGTCGCAAAACAATCCATCAATCAGCCGGACCGAATGAATCCACAGAAATAATAAGTAAAGGACTCACCTGTTAAGGCCTTCCTTCAGTGTATCTTCTTCCTGTGAGAAAACCAACCGGAACCACCCAACACTCCTCGAATGCTCTTCTCCGGGATGCAAGAAGACGCCAGCATCGACCAGCCTCTGTGCAAGGACAAATTCTCGGTTTCGCGGAGTAATAGCGCCGTCATGGGGAAGATAAGGTGACAAGTCAATGTAGACGAAAAAGCCAGCGTTTCTGATGACCAGATTAGAAGGGGAATTGAATGATGTCGAGTTTGTATACTCACCCGCCCTTGACATAGTTGATTCCCTCCTTGTCAAGCACCGAGGTCGTAAGCCGGTAGGCTGAAGCGAGTCTCTTTCTTGCTACGGCTGTGAAGCTCGACACGAAAGCTTGGTCTTCTAGAATTGCGGTGCCAATAGTCACCGCTGCTTGTGACGCACCATGGAGCCTCCTATATAGAGTCAGTTTCACGTCGGACATCATCCAGCTTTTCACTGTGCAAGAGAAAGAGAGAGACCTTACAGAATTGCTTTACAGGCTTGACGAAGCTGCTCATTTTGGGTCACCAAGAAGCCAAGGTGGAGGCCTCCGGAAGCGAAGTCCTACAATGGTATGTCAAATTCGATGCCTCCGTTGGAATTGTCCGAAGCCTACCTTGCTGAAGCCATATAACACATGGACCAAATTAGGATCTATCAATTCCGTAAAGTCGAGCGAGAGAATTGAAGTAAACGGCACAGCGGTAGGGTCGCCAGAATCAAACACACAGGAGGCGTATACCTCATCACTAATGAGATGGAGACGGTGCTTATTGCAGAATCGGGCAATAGCCTTGAGTGTCTCGAGTGGGTAACAACGGCCTGAAGATAGGCAATTAGCTCAGTTCAATGGACCAGGCGGCATATATTACTTACCAACAGGGTTATGCGGATTCACAAGCAGCACAGCTCGAATCTTCTTGCCGCATTGCTTCAAAGCTCGCTCATACTTTTCCACGCAAGCAGGAGAGAATGCCTCGTCTACAGTTGTGTCAGCATAGACCATTCTAACTCCAGATTCAACGCCGTAATCGAGCTCAAAGCGGCCGTATACAGGTCTGCTGACGAGGATCCCATCCTCGGGTTCTGCGAGATTGTATCCCAGCATACTGCCAAGAGATGTTGGAGAGTCTGCGACGACTATATGCTGGGGGTCAATTGGGGCATGTGGTTTGAGGATAGTGTTCAAGTGAACTGCTGCGGCGGCTGGTAGTCTTGCAGCTGTTGGCGCACTTGAGCGGTAGCTGACAGAATCTTGGGTAAAGACAACCTAGGTGAGGTTGTTAGGGCGGGATACTCTCGGTCAATGGACATGATGCCGACCTGAAGGCGAATATTGGCATATGCACCTTTTCGTTGATATATCTTGCTATCTCTGCTCTCATTGGTTTCTGGCTGAGGGTTAGCTTTTGGATTTCCAGGTTGTGGGGGACATAGATACATTCTCTGCCATGCCAAATGAGATGAGCCCTGTCGGGTTCTCCACGGGGTCATAGGTCTGGGTTAGACTGAAGCGCCAGGGTATAGCTAGTTCCCTGACATTTTCGCTCCCTCGAAAAGATAACATCATGCGATAGACAAGCGTGAATATTTTGCTGAATGTCAAGGAGTGATATATATCTTGAAACCAAGGTTGGATATTGGTGCGACACCAAAATTAGACGAGTTAATTGCACAATCACCCTTAGGAACAATAGGAACAACCTCGGTTTAGTGCAAGAGAATATCAAGCAAAATAAACAGGGAGTCAAAATAAAGTGGGAAAGAACCTTGGAAGTTAAAGAAGTTAAATGAATTAAAGTGAAAAGGCTAATACCCCCCCACCTGCGGGGACCGTGGGGATGAGCATATTGTGTAACCTTGGAGATATTCGAGACTACCCAGGTATGCACAGACATACAGCATAGTTGGTGGTATAACAAGACTATTGTACATATCTATAAGAGAGGAGAAACGCCGAGCCGCTATGCTAAATGGCCTATTGTACATGTTCAAATACCCAAATCACAATTAATATCTCGTCCGCGGCCGCTTGCGCTTGTCGATTTTTTTCTTCTCTGCAATAAAGTTCCAACACTCAATCGGACGTCGGGACCCAATATGCTTCCCGTTAGGAGTGAAAACTTCGACTTGCGGATAGGAAGGTTCGCCTTCAGCGTCCCGCTTGCTGCGGATTTGTATACTGAGCTCGATCCAGCCGCAGCCCTCGACGAGAATATCAGCCGACATTACACGGTATGGCAATGAAGGAACTGGAATCCCCCTGTCATTTACAGCTTTCGCGAGCGAGGTAGGAAGATTTGAGATGGTGGTATCCCACTTCAAGTCGAATACACCGGCTGAGGCCATTGTGCTGCCTGTTCCTTCTTTCATAATGACAGTTCCCCGGTAGGGGACTTCCCTCGGCCTGCGTCTCAATTGCTTTCTGTGTGTTGGTGACATGAGACTCGAGAGGCAGGAAACTGGCAGACATGACCGTATCTTGGGGGTTCACCGCAGTGATGCGGATAAGACCACCGCCAAGCAGAAGAGACTGGCCGGGTTTAATGGTTGAACGTTCAGGCTTGATCCGCTTCGTCATGATCAAATCACGCTTATGTTCATCCCGAACAAAGTCCTCCAATAGACCACGCTCCAGGCCAGGCAAATCGATGACCTCGCCCTTTCCGCGGCCGAATGGAATACGGATAGGTGAGACTGTAGTGCCTGGAAGGGAAGACACGACTGGGAGCACAGGATAGAGATCCTCCCGAGGGGCAGGGGGCAAAAGGCTGTCGGGGTTAAGAAAGGTGGCCTCTGGCTGGTTTGTAATCTCATCTTCACCACGGCGGCGTTGAAGCCACTCCTCGATTTTCTCCACATTCCTGGAATCCTTGGGGAAACAAGCTTCAATGAAGCTGCTCTTTCCGACATTTGCCTTGCCAACGACCCAAATTCCCCCGCCGTGCTCTCGGATCTCTTCTTTGACTTCCTTGGTCCACCAGCCACGGTGCGCGCTAATCATGTGCACGTTTCCCAAACGGGCCTCCCTCCTGATCTTCCCAACGCTGCGCGGAGCTCTGTGCGAATGTAATCCATCTTCGAGTCTACCTGCTCTTTCGTTGCTGCCAAAAGGTCTGAGCGCGTGATTATAAATGAGAGCGATGGAAGTTTCCTTCCGCGTTCGTATTTCTCATTCGTAGATCGTCGGTTCCGCGAACGTTGTTCCTGCAGCATTAAAGCCCAGTGAATGCGTGGGACGAGAGACATAGGAAAATCTGCAGCATCAATGATATGGTAAACACGGTTGTGTCTGTGCGGCGATTCTTCTAGATAGTTTCGTATAGACAAAATAGTCGGCTTAGGCGAAGAGACTGCCTTATTGTGGTGTATTAAGTCATGGCAGCGATCGCAGACTTCGGTGATTCGACCGGGAGATCCAATAAAGTTGTTCTCGGGGTCGATAGCTTCATCCGGAAAAGCTGCATCTTCATATTCAGTCAGCAAATGACGCGCTTGAGCAATAGTCTAGATGACCCACCTTGAATGGGCTTGGGTGGCACTGCCTCCTCGATGGTATCGTCCTGCTGTGCGCTCAACTCATCTCCCTCAGTGGATATAGCTTCGTTTTGTTGTATAATTTTGTCTGCAATTGCTCCCTTTCTCACGGCGAGTAGCTTCCGAATCTGCTTTCGTGATGTACCATAGTATCCTGGCTCGTTTTCCTCAACTGTTTGGGAGAATGCGCCACATCCTGGGCAACACACAGGAAGGGAATCGGCTAGGGTGCCAACCTGAGGCTCAGCTGGGGGCTGTTCCCGGTGAAAGCAAGTTGTTGAGAAGCACCGACATTGCCTGCGGAGGTCCGTAAGGACTTTGTATTGTGGCGCGGCGCGCGACAGTGAAAACAGCGTTCGAGCCTGGGATCGAGGAATGCTAGTTGGGGGCAGACGCAGCAGATGTAATCTCGGGTTTCTGAACACTGCTCGAGAGCAGAGCGACATGATGGCGTGTGAATTGCGGAGTTGCGGAGCTTTTTTTTCTTGGAGACAGTTATCTATCGATAGCGCACTTGGCAAGTTCGGGCCACCGTACAACTATGAAAGGTAAGGTTGCGCAACGAGAATTTCGTTCATTACGTTTTATGAACAAGAAAAGATAACTGGAATTAGTGAAAATATGGAAATGGACAACTTTCGTATTGAAAAAATTCATCGGAGGTTGATATTATTGACACAAAAGGCGCTGAAAAACAGATGCGCTAGAGAATCCCTGAAAATAGTAGCAAAAGAACGCCGTCATGAACCATGGACAAATATTGGCTATGAGAGGATATCAAGCACGCGCCTTTCCCTTTCCCTTGGCAGATTCATCCATCTCGTCATCGGAGTCGCTCATGAACTCGTCGTCATCATCATCGAAACCAATGAACTTCCTGGGCGCAGCCTTTGGAGCGGCAGAAGGCTTAGCAACAGAGTTGGACGATTCGCCATTTCCCTCGCTCTCCTCGTCCTCACTGGACGAAGCATCCTCTTCACTGCCCTCATCGCTGGCGCTGGCGCTGGTGCTGGATCCACCCAAGATTGCGTCGCGAAGATTGTCTGTCCATTGGCCATCCTTCACTGCTCGTAGAA